TTAAGAAGTACTCTTCATGTCTTATCAATGAATAATAACACAGTATCTACAATAGACAAAAATAAGAGAAATATACATAACTCACAACATTTCATCTTTTTTTAAGTGTTTTCAACATAAACATACACATACAATACATATTTTGAATCCTTACATTCAATTTCATATAATTAGGCCAATACAGAGATTTGAAACTCCTACAATATAACACACTCAAATTTCAGATTGCCAATTTATTTAAAATATACAGAAGAAATGAACAGAAGAGTAAATATCACAGTTAATGAGAGGTTGTTCACAACTTCTGTATTAAAATGGCAGTAGCCATGTATACTGTAGGAACACAATACACTGAATTTTATGTCTTCTTAAATTACTCAAAAAATCATACACTAAATGTAACAACACCAAGATAGTGTGTCAGTAACTCAAAACTCCTACTCTTGTGGGAACTATATACTGCTGGGCGAAACAGGGTATAGTGCATCATACCATGAGAAATATGGTGATGTGGATCCTCTGTGGTAAAGTGTGACTGCTTTGGACATATCTCTTGGACATCTTTCCAAATCATACAACATAATCTAACTCACTATTATGCAGATGAGGTTTTAAAAACAGATATATTTCTCCTTATCTTCGAATACATTCTGGACAACACAAAGACTCACAACTACTTGTGGTCAAGAAAAATCAAAGTCTTGCAAGGAAAGTTGTAAAGACAGAGTTGCTAGTCACAATAGTTCTCGGGGAAAAACATAAGATAGAAGATCACTAAAAAAAACAAAGATAATTTTCATTCCACCAGCAGTTGTGAGAATCACTAAATCTATTTTCTCTAGTAATGTTTTTTCTGATCACTAAAACTCAATAATCAAGGAAAATAATTATTTTCAGACAAATTTTCTGCCTTTTCTTTTAATCTCTAATTTCAAAGTTTTGATGACTAAGCAAAGAATTACCAATGAAAAATACTACAATGTACATACGATTTAACATCATCTTAAAACCTTTCTAATATGAAATAAATATAAAACAGTTACAGCCATCACCATATACTTAACCTTGTTAAGAAGTGATATTACACCTAATATGCTTAGGATTCTACATAACACATTCACTCAAAAAACACATTTTACCTTCATATGTAGAAACCAAGAACTTTACAACATGGTTTAACTTTTTGATAAAGAATGCCCATGTTCCCTGGTGTATGGTAATTTTAAAATTACATGTTCATAATATCTTAAAATGAAAATAAGTTATTATAGTTGTTTATGAAGTCACAGATATAAGAACTTCACTTATCCATTGCAATGACACACAAACACAAACATTACATTTCTCACTTGAAATTCATAACACTGTGAAAATTTAATTGCATGACAGTTGCACTAGGGCTGTGGTAGAAATCACCAGGGCTAGACATTCACCAAAAAGAATCTTGAGGTCCTGTGTTTAAATTTTGGAGTTTGTCACATGTATACTGCAGCCACAAATAACACTGTGGTGATGACTCTCTCTCTCTACTTGAAACATCTTTTCACAGCCTCGTATACTTTATCACTATACATAACATCTTCAATGACATGTAGAAGAGGTCTTGGTAACAAGAATACGCAATGTCTAAGAAAAATGATTTTGATTCACAAAAGTATCAAATCTTGAAAAAGGGAGATTTCATTTTTGCAATTTTTACACGTACTAAGTAAACAAGTAATTGTCAAGCTGAGTCAATATCCTGTATACAGCCCAGGTATCCTACATGGAAATTCTCTTTCAAAAACTAGAGGTGGGCTTATTGAGAACAACGAATGAGCGTTTTTAGCTTATTGTACCGAACAGTGATTGATAATATAGATGGGCTTATTACTAGACATGGTCTATTTGCTGTATCAACTTGATTATCGCAGCGTTGCTAACACAGTAATGGGAAATGATGAGACTATTCCACTAAACCAGTATGCAGTTTTAACAAGAACAAACTAATAATTCTATTTAAATCAAATTCACTAAATAACCTTAAAAGATATGGAAAATTCTCATTCAACATTTAAATAGTAAGGTCTATTTCAAAAAGGGGTGTTTGACCATAATTCCCTGCAGTTTGTCCACTATACCTTGTAGTGTCAAACAAATACCTGTCATCAGCAGAACAAGCTGCAGTGTATTATTCATACAATAAAATCAGAATGTAGGTAGGACACAAAGAACATCAACATCATGGATTCTGTAACGATGTGTATACTGTTACAGAACACCTGTACTGATGTGTATACTGTTACAGAACACCTGTACTGATGAGTATACTGTTACAGAACACCTGTACTGATGAGTATACTGTTACAGAACACCTGTACTGATGAGTATACTGTTACAGAACACCTGTAACGATGAGTACAGTATACTGTTACAGAACACCTGTACTGATGTGTATACTGTTACAGAACACCTGTACTGATGTGTATACTGTTACAGAACACCTGTACTGATGAGTATACTGTTACAGAACACCTGTAACGATGAGTACAGTATACTGTTACAGAACACCTGTACTGATGTGTATACTGTTACAGAACACCTGTACTGATGTGTATACTGTTACAGAACACCTGTACTGATGTGTATACTGTTACAGAACACCTGTACTGATGTGTATACTGTTACAGAACACCTGTACTGATGTGTATACTGTTACAGAACACCTGTACTGATGTGTATACTGTTACAGAACACCTGTACTGATGTGTATACTGTTACAGAACACCTGTACTGATGAGTATACTGTTACAGAACACCTGTACTGATGTGTATACTGTTACAGAACACCTGTACTGATGAGTATACTGTTACAGAACACCTGTAACGATGAGTACAGTATACTGTTACAGAACACCTGTACTGATGTGTATACTGTTACAGAACACCTGTACTGATGTGTATACTGTTACAGAACACCTGTACTGATGAGTATACTGTTACAGAACACCTGTAACGATGAGTATACTGTTACAGAACACCTGTAACGATGAGTACAGTATACTGTTACAGAACACCTGTACTGATGTGTATACTGTTACAGAACACCTGTACTGATGTGTATACTGTTACAGAACACCTGTACTGATGAGTATACTGTTACAGAACACCTGTAACGATGAGTACAGTATACTGTTACAGAACACCTGTACTGATGTGTATACTGTTACAGAACACCTGTACTGATGTGTATACTGTTACAGAACACCTGTACTGATGTGTATACTGTTACAGAACACCTGTACTGATGTGTATACTGTTACAGAACACCTGTACTGATGTGTATACTGTTACAGAACACCTGTACTGATGTGTATACTGTTACAGAACACCTGTACTGATGTGTATACTGTTACAGAACACCTGTACTGATGTGTATACTGTTACAGAACACCTGTACTGATGAGTATACTGTTACAGAACACCTGTAACGATGAGTACAGTATACTGTTACAGAACACCTGTACTGATGTGTATACTGTTACAGAACACCTGTACTGATGTGTATACTGTTACAGAACACCTGTACTGATGAGTATACTGTTACAGAACACCTGTACTGATGAGTATACTGTTACAGAACACCTGTACAGATGTGTACACTGTTACAGAACACCTGTACTGATGAGTATACTGTTACAGAACACCTGTACTGATGTGTATACTGTTACAGAACACCTGTACTGATGTGTATACTGTTACAGAACACCTGTACTGATGAGTATACTGTTACAGAACACCTGTACTGATGTGTACACTGTTACAGAACAGCTGTACTGATGAGTATACTGTTACAGAACACCTGTAACGATGAGTATACTGTTACAGAACACCTGTACTGATGAGTATACTGTTACAGAACACCTGTAACGATGAGTATACTGTTACAGAACACCTGTAATGATGAGTATACTGTTACAGAACACCTGTACTGATGAGTATACTGTTACAGAACACCTGTACTGATGAGTATACTGTTACAGAACACCTGTACTGATGTGTACACTGTTACAGAACAGCTGTACTGATGTGTATACTGTTACAGAACACCTGTACTGATGAGTATACTGTTACAGAACACCTGTAATGATGAGTATACTGTTACAGAACACCTGTACTGATGAGTATACTGTTACAGAACACCTGTAACGATGAGTACGGTATACTGTTACAGAACACCTGTACTGATGAGTATATATATGCAACTAAAGACCACAAGCACATGAAAAGGTTCCCTAATACACGTCCCCACCTAGCAAAAGAGAAGATGGAACTTTGTGGCAGGTGTTATGCTAAAAGTTATGATACATAGTACATACCGAGGTACATGTTGCCAGGGAATCTGTTGTGTATTGTGCATGTGCTCTTTACTTGATAATACAATAATGGAAAAAAAACAAGAAATGAAAAAGATTAAGAGTTCACTTAACATATTGTATCATGAAAAAAAAGGGAAAAACTCAAGATGACAATTTACACCTAAAATAGCAGATCTATAATGATATAACAGGCTTTAGCAGAATGACAACCTGCAAGAAATTATGATAAATTCCTTAATTATTTCAATGATACAAGAAGTCCAATTGGCCTGTATAGCTCACCTGGTATTCAATTTCCTCAAAAATTGAATCAATGATAATATCACAAATATATTGACATGTACACCATTGCCATTCAAAGCATCCAATCAATTTTGACCAATTTTAACAACAAACTGCTTCTAATACTAAACTCTACAATAGTGACAATTTTTTGGTAAATATCATTTCTTTTTTTCTCAAAATTTGACAGGCTTTGACACTTTTACACCAAATATCTTGCTTCTCAAACATTTGGTTTATTTTTCATTTTGCAAACATTGCCGGCATCATTTCAAAGACCTAACAGCCAAAATACCATGCTTCTTCACCTTTTGGTTAATCAGAAGTCATTTTAATGTTTTGACAAATTTGACCCTTTTCACAAATGTTTGTCCAGTTTCACACTTTGAACCTTTCAGCCAAGTTGTCCGGCTTCATCTAAGGAACCTATCAGCCAAATCCCATGCTTTTGGTTAGTCAGAAGAAGTTCTTTGCAAGCTTTAACAAATTTGGCCCCTGTGACCATGAATAAATATTACATTTAGTTTGTTGGTTATTGAGATGAAGCTAACTAAACTGAAAAGTTGACACCAGATGCTGGACACCAGACATGGACGCTATACCATGGCATCAGCTCACTTGGCCCTTCAGGCCAGGTGAGTTATAAACACTACTTAAAACAAACTCACAATTCATATAGTACAGGTAGTAAGTGAAAGAAATTGTGTAAAATAACATCCTTGCATGACAGGTGCTCTCTAAATTAATGTTTCTTTTCAAGAACAAAGAAAAGGTATTAATGTTTTTTCGTACTTCTAAAGGCAGCCCTACACTCTCTGACAATTTGACACAGATTCACTAGAATCAGCCCTTGTGATTCTTACAGCAGTACAGACAAAGAGCTCTTAAGACTCGGATCCAAGCTAGTTACAGAAGAGTGGCGTGCGTATAAGTCAAAGTCTTTATAAGTCCTACAGCATCAGTCGTCAAGGGATTCATACCTAAAAGAAAAAACAAAACAGAAAATTTATATTTCTGCATGATTATTGAAGCAGAATTTACTTGCTGCAAGTCAAAGCTATGCTAGTGAAATATCTACTTGATCCCAGAACTTCAAACCTTCCACATTTTCTCAGGGAGCTGAGACTCTGACAGGTTTGTGCTGTAATGGTTGTGTCCTTCACAGCACTTTACCCTTATTGGTCTAGATGGTATACAACTGGTCTCTCCTTCATTATTTATCTACTACAGTAAAAAAGAGTCCATAGATCAGTTGTACACATTTATATGTGTTTAATTGATTTATACAGGGGGAACATTTATTTTAAATTTCATTTGATCTGATCACTGATTAACACTATTCTACATTATTTCTAACTACCTCTGATTTTCTTATTCATGTGATAGCGTTCTCAGATTTTATCTAATTTTATAACAATTGTGTACATGTGCAGGTGGAAACGAAAGGTGAGGAACTCACAGAAAGATGTTTCAGAAAGAAAGTCTGAATTTTGATGCTCAACACCCAGTATTATCTTATCAAAAGTTTTCATTTATACAACATGCATATAACATTATTAACTTCACTTGCTCAATGGTAAAATCCATATGTCTGGACAATCTGATATCCTTTCAGAAGTTAGAACGTAAACTACAGGAGATAGGATTGTATATCATGTGATGTCCATTTGCTTATAAATGTATAGAAATGTGTGTAATAAATGTAAAATGTCAAATACACAGTCGTTGGTTATCACAAGTACCACATGCAGTAAACAAATATTGATCCCATCACATTTCCTAAGAATCAAACAATTCTTGTATCACTAAAATGAATGTAATGCCAAAATCTCAGAGGCTGGTAAGTGGCAGTGTATCTAGGTTTTACTGTACTTGGAACCTCAGCCTCAAAATGACCGTGGCAGGTTAAGGGGCAATAAACCCAAGAAATAAACCACTAAAAATACTAGTCCTAGGGTGGGAGAGATGTTTTACAGAAATAGCCCTGAACACAACCTAGAGTGGGAGAGATGTTTTACAGATATAGCCCTAAACACAACCTAGAGTCCTAGGGTGGGAGAGATGTTTTACAGATATAGCCCTAAACACAACCTAGAGTCCTAGGGTGGGAGAGATGTTTTACAGATATAGCCCTAAACACAACCTAGAGTCCTAGAGTGAGAGAGATGTTTTACAGATATAGCCCTAAACACAACCTAGAGTCCTAGGGTGGGAGAGATGTTTTACAGATATAGCCCTAAACACAACCTAGAGTCCTAGGGTGGGAGAGATGTTTTACAGATATAGCCCTAAACACAACTTAGAGTCCTAGAGTGAGAGAGAAGTTTTAAAGATATAGCCCTTAACACAACCTAGAGTCCTAGAATGGGAGAGATGTTTACAGATATAGCCCTTACCAAAACCTAGAGTCCTAGGGTGTGAGAGATGTTTAACTGGAATAGCCCTTAAACAAAATCTAGAATAGCCCTAAACAAAACCTAGAGTCCTAGGGTGTGAGAGATGTTTAACTGGAATAGCCCTTAACAAAATCTAGTTCTAGGGTGCGAGAGATGTTTAACTGGAATAGCCCTAAACAAAACCTAGAGTCCTAGGGTGCGAGAGATGTTTAACTGGAATAGCCCTAAACAAAACCTAGAGTCATAGGGTGTGAGAGATGTTTAACTGGAATAGCCCTTAACAAAATCTAGTCCTAGGGTGTGAGAGATGTTTAACTGGAATGGCCCTAAACAAAACCTAGAGTACTAGGGTGTCAGAGATGTTTAACTGGAATAGCCCTAAACAAAACCTAGAGTCCTAGGGTGTGAGAGATGTTTAACTGGAATAGCCCTAAACAAAACCTAGAGTCATAGGGTGTGAGAGATGTTTAACTGGAATAGCCCTAAACAAAATCTAGTCCTAGGGTGTGAGAGATGTTTAACTGGAATAGCCCTTAACAAAACCTAAAGAGTACTAGGGTGGGAGAGATGTTTAACTGGAATAGCCCGTTCAACACATCCACAATAAATTTCCCTTAAAACAGTATGCTGTACTGATACCTACTTTGATAACCGTCGCCTGAGATCCTTTATCTGATCGTTTTTCTTTGTCAACATTTGTTTAAGATTTTTAAATGGTGTTGTTTGATGAACTTTCTTCTCAAGTTCCTACAAAATAAAACAATTGATTCCAAATTAATATGAAGGAAATATCTGAGCAGTACATGCAGGAGAACATTATTGTACTGATAGTTGTTGTTGTTGCTTTTCAAAGGTTCAAATTTGATTTAAATGCTTTCAACTGTAATCTTTAACAAAGAAACATTGTATGAATTCTCCTAATGTCAACATCTACTAGTCTGTAAGTAAGGTCTAGTCTGTAAGTAAGGTCTAAGCTCTCTATTGTTTCAGTGAAAGATGGATCACTTAATATAAATGGAAGTTTTTTTCTTCTTGGGACTTTATTTTTTAATCTTGGTAATATTTCTTACTTTTTCTGCCATTTCCAGCATTTCTTGAATCCTAAGGAGCTCATGTTTCGTGCTCGCCAGGTCAGTCTCCATGTTGCCCAAAGACATGGCACCACTCTTTTTTGTCTGCAAGTGGAAATGACACAAGTTAATGGATTTTCTGTATTGTGAAATCCACAGGTCTCTTTATTTTGCTTGTAATAAAGATTTCTAATTCAAAATTCTGACAGAAGGTTTTGGATTTAAATCTGAGCATTAAAAATTGTTTGGAAGATGAAACGAAGAAAAACAAAAACAATAAAACAAAATAAAAAGCAAACAAACAAGAAAAAGAAAGGAAAAAAATGGTTTTGTATTCAATCAAGTTCCTGAAAACATTATACCAAATCTTATTCCTGTTGACAAATTTTTAGATTGAAAACTCTATCTGAGCTGAGATTCCAGTACATGGATATAAATAAATAACTATGAGATACCAAGAGCCTGAAGTCTGACCGGTGACATTTTAACATTTAAGGGTTAGCTATAGTGATTCAATTCTTATAGAGTGCAGACAAAACAGACGCATGTGAAATGACATTTAAAAAAAAAAAAAAAAAATTTGTTAATAAAACTATCTTGTAACTGTCAAGTAATCTGGTTCTTGTTTCAATTGCATTTGCGAATTCAGAAAGACTGAAATGTAAACAGTCAAGAAACAATTGTAAACTTCAGAAAAAAAAAGAAAAGAATAAAGTACATACCAGTATAAAGGACTTTTTTTCAAAAATAAAATCACAAAATTAAAAAAGACAAGGTTTGCTATTGTTGTTTATTTTTGTATCAATTATATGAAAAGTTAGTATACTGGCAGTATCCACAAACTAACCAGTATAGAAGGAGAGTTTTACAACACATATCTCAAGTAGGAACACACCACACACTACCTTTTTTAGAGAAATAACAGACAAATCATCCTTATTTTTAACACCAACTAGTTACGATAATCACTGTTAGGAAAAAAAGCATTACTATTCCCTACCCATCACCATGTATGAAAAAAACACCAATTGATGTGCTGGTATATGAAATAGGGTGGGACAAGGAGGAAAGTGCAGAGATTTTTTTTACAGTGTTTGTCAGTGGCAGATGTAAAAGGATGGCACTTTATCATGTACTTAGTGAATATTAGTATAAAATGGGATGTTTGATTTTTATTAAAAAAAAAAAAAAAAAAAAAACAAACAATAAAATACCAATATGTCAACATAATCATTATCCAAATTCTTGTTGTTTCTATGGTTACAGACAATTTATGTGAATAAACCAAGACAAACAAGGCTTCAGAAGAAAGAATTCAGTTTTCATCTATGTGATAACTTCTTGAAATAACATCTTGGGTTTAAATTGTGAAAGAAAGGCAGTTCCTGTTATACAGTATAAATTAAACTTGGGTACATGAGAAAAATTAATTGAGGGTAATGGCATGACAACATGTGTATCCACACTCACAATATATCTGAAATGTGTAGTTTGAAGCAATGCCACTGATACTTTGGAAAGTGTTTCATTCATAGAAAGATATTTACAGTATATAGATGGTAAAACTGGAGTTCCTCATATGTTTGACCAGAAGGTATAATAATGATGTCATACTTCGTCTATACATATATACATTGTATTTACTTTTGTACTTCCTGATCGAAATATTATAACTAAGACACAACTTGATATTTTATCTACAGCTATAGAACTGTCTTATTTCCACTATGTCTGAATTTACAAATCAAACTTGTACACAGCAGGGCAACACGTAGTTAGTGATACTGATCATATGATTAGGACATTACCTCACGACTCTGAAAGGTTTATAATAAATAGAATTTGTGTAATTATATGTTGATTGGTATCAAAGTTCAATGTGAATTTCTGAATGACATGAACAACATTAGTCCATGCAGAAGATATGGCAATCTATCGTTTTGTGAAAGAAACAGGATGTTCATATTACATGGTTAAGTTATACATAGATATGAATTAGTGAGGAAAATATACCCTACCAAAGATTACCAAGTTTTTTTTATAAACGGTAATAATTGTCTCCCTTGAGTGTCCTGTTGACATTTGTCTTATAAATGACAATAAAATTTAAAGTATACACATCTTTGGAGAATAAATGTAAACACAGAAATCAGTTAATATACATTAAAAAAAAGGAAATGTATAGAAAATATAATTAATTACAACCAAACTTTAGAACCAATTCAGAAAAAAGAACATTTAAACATGACATATATGCTATCATCTGATTCATTTGTTGAGAACCATATGTGAAACGTGAAGAAATGTGAACCAAGACTTACAAATACTGTGTAGAAACTATTTACAAGACACCAGCGCCTTATCATATATTATAAGTACAAAGAATATAGATATATTAGAGACTTGAATTGGATACATGTAAATCACCATCATTTTTTTAAGAAAAATAATTTGAATTCAGTTGAATTTTCCTATGTATTTGTATCAGTAATTCAATATACATAACGACATATATACAATAGTGCAAGAGGAACAGATAATGTATAACTTTGTTTAAAAAATGAGAAATAGAGATAGCAGCTTCACGTACTTACCTCTGCTAGCTCTGCTGTCATGCCTTGTAGCTGTTTCCTCATAGCTTCCACTTCTAATTCATGCTGATATAAAAGATACACTTTTACACACTTTATACACATACATCACATTTACATTAATCAAATGGTACTACACTGGTTTTGTTTTGTTATTTTCATATCTGACAGGTTTGACGAAAATTTGGAATTCTTTTTTCCAAACAAATGAAAAATATGTCTTTTAAAAGCTCATATCAATTACTCTTTTTGGCCTGCATTGCATTACTCGAGGGGTGTTACCATAGGTGGAGAGAGGAGTACCTATCGGGAAAACCTGGGGACAAATATAAATCATGGAAAACACTTTTAAAAAGAAAGTATAAAGCTTTCTTTCGTGTTTTGACGAATCCTTTTATAAATAAATCTGTGTCTTTACTAAGGAGTTGAAACTCACCATTCCTGATCGACTGTCATCTTCACTGACTGATGATAAACCAGCTAAAGCTGACTGAAAAGAGTAAAAAAAATTAAACATATTTAATGTTTCCATTAAAAAATTCTAGTATTTTTTTACAAAGCAACTCAAAATGAATTATTTAGGATTCAAATTCCTCTCCAGTGACATACAAATCTTTTCAGAGAGTTTGATACCAAGGAAAACTCTTCATGAAAATGATTTAATAGATGTGACTGAATAATAAATTACAGACAAATGATTATGAATATATTGTCTAAAGATATAGAAAGGTATTGTACACGATACAAATATGTATGACATAGTAAGAATAAATGGAAACCTACACCTGTTCACAAACATCACCTCCTGTAAGAATTCCCATTTATACCTCCTGCACTGCAAATGTAGGTTACCACTACCATAAATAAGTAAAATTGTGTATAATGTATTCAAATGCTGCATGTATGGCATTGTGGTCTGTGTAATAATGGAAGATGTTGCTCAATATGTTGATGTGAATGTTTCTGGTGTAGATATGGTCTAATAAACTATCAAAACGATGGGTAGGTGACTTGATATGCTAAAGGTAAGTGTTTCCTTTATGGATGACAATGTATTTGGTGTTTTATCAATGTCATAAATGAAGTCTCCTGGTAGTCAAATTGCAACCTTTGGAGCAGTGACATCCAAATTTCAACAAATTTTTATATGTAGTAAAGTTGACCTAGTTTTTTAACCATGGAAAGTCAAAACTTGAGCTTGTACAAAAGGCCATCCTTCTGAACATGTGTGGAGTTTGGTAAGAATCGGGGAAGCAATGGAGTCTTCAGAGAGAAAAGATTTGGAAATATTGCTCGTTTCTATTTATAATAACAGTGACGAAGTATTTGTTTTCAAAACGTTGAAAGTCAAACTGGTTCAAGAAGTGAAGTTTGTGATTGGTATAAGAAGTGATGTTTATGCATCATATCCATCAGAAATGCAGCCTGTAGAGCAGTCATATGAAAGTTGATTTCTATTTATCATAACAGTGATCTTGTTTTGGACCACACAAGGATGGAAGTCAAACTCCTACAAGAAGTGATAGTTGTGATCATGTGTGTAGAGTTTTGTACTTATCAGTTTAGAAATGAAGCCTGCAGAGTAGTGACAAAAAATTATTTGTTGATTCCTATTTTTAGTAACAGTGACCTAGTTTTTGACTGCACAAGGATGGAAGTTAAACTTGTACAAGAAGTGATATTTTGTGATAATGTTTGTGAAATTTTGTACCAATCAGTTCAGAAATGCAGCCTGTTGAGCTGTGACATGAAAATATCTGTTGATTTCTATTTATAGTAACAGTGACCTAGTTTTTGACCACACCAGATTTATATGGGAAATGCAATCTGTAGAGTAGAGATGGGTTTTTTTACATGCATATGAGAGGTATTCCTATAAATCTTTGATGACGCATCATGAGGGTATAATAAAATTAAGTAATATTACATTTCTAAACAAGAGGCCCAAGGGCCTTAACGGTCATCTGAGTAGTAGTCATAAAAACATTTTCTGCAATCTTGAAATCACATTTTTTATACACCCTACTACACAAATGTTAGTAATGCGAACCTATTGCTTATTGAAAAAGAAATTTTAAGATCTCAACTCACTTAACCCAAGATATCTTTAGGTCAAGGTCAATTACTTGAACAAATTGGTAGCCCTTCATCCAATCATATTAAAGAACCAATATCAACAGCCTGGACTTTTTGTTATTGAGCAGAAGTCATTTAAAGATTTCAACACAATTGACCCCTGTGACCTTTAAAAACAAAAAACATAAATTATTTTGACAAAATTAGCAACCAAATATCAGCATCCTAAGCCTTCTGGTTATTGTGAAGAAGTCATTTAAAGATTTCGATATATAAGACCTTGAAAGTGGTCACGGTCAATAATATGAACAAACTTGGTAGCCCTTCATCCCAGCATGCTACAGCCGATTATCAGCACTCTGGGCCTTTTGGTCATTACGAAGAAATCATTTAAAGATTTTTACACATTTGTACCCTGTGACCTTGAAAGTGGGTCAGTGTCATTCGTTTTAGCAAACTTGGTAGATCTTCACCTCATCATGCTACAGACCCACTATCTTCATCCTCGAGCTTTTGGTAATCAAGAAAATGTGGTTTAAACATTTTAACACATATGATACCTGTGACCTTCACAATGGGTCAAGGTTATCATTATTTACAAAATAGGTAGCCTACCATAGTAAAAGCCCAATTTCTGCACCCTGGGCCTTTCGGTTATTGAAAAGAAGTTTTTTGTAAAGATTTTGACATATTTGACACCTGTGACCTTGAAAGTGGGTCAGGGTTAATGATATGAACGAAATAGACAGCCCTTAATCCCAGCATTATAAAGGTCCAATATCAGCACCATGGACCTTTTGGTTATTGAGAAAAATTGTTTAAATGGAAAGTTAATGCATGGTGGACAGACCATGACGACAGACAAAACACAACGGCTATAGGTCATCCTAATCCTGTGTGTCAAATGACCTAAATACTGCTTGATAACCCTAAAAACTATGTTAAAAGCATTGGCTTATTATTGATACTCACAGCTCCTCCCATGCTGAGAAGTTTCTCCTTTGCTTTTTTGTTTTCAGCCATTAACTTCTTCATTTCTTTATCTAGTTCTTCAATTTTCTGGAAAGAAAAGGTTTTAAGTGTAAGATATTAAGAGATGTCATTTCTTCATTAAAATATGGAAAACAAAGATTTCAACTTCAAAAGTCTACAACCTACATGTGGAAAAACATGTAAAATGTAATGGAAAAAACATTAAACATGAAAACACATTATCTCTTGAAGAATCTTCTATGATACCAGAGACGTATATATCACAGAAGTTATATATGTGTTATATATGTCTCTGATGATACCATTCCATTTTAGCATAGTCTCAGTGCTGTTATTCTTTAGGTATAAATATTTAGCTATTACATCCCTTGAAACGACAACTCATCCCATGTAGATAAGAAGTAATTGTACTCTGAGAAAATTTATATCAACTCTATGAGCATCTTAAACAAAGCTTGAACAACTTCTTTTCACTCTGCACTATAGTTTCTCTTTTATAGTTTAAATTGTTATTTCTGTTAAACATTAGGCCTACTGGGTTTGTATGTTTTATTATTTCATAGATAACCTAGGAACATCAAACATCTTAGCTATCTTCAGACCACACCTAGGAACATCAAACATCTTAGCTATCTTCAGACCACACCTAGGAACATCAAACATCTTAGCTATCTTCAGACCACATCTAGGAACATCAAACATCTTAGCTATCTCCAGACCACACCTAGGAACATCAAACATCTTAGCTATCTCCAGACCACATCTAGGAACATCAAACATCTTAGCTATCTCCAGACCACACCTAGGAACATCAAACATCTTAGCTATCTCCAGACCACACCTAGGAACATCAAACATCTTAGCTATCTTCAGACCACACCTAGGAACATCAAACATCTTAGCTATCTCCAGACCACAACTAGGAACATCAAACATCTTAGCTATCTCCAGACCACACCTAGGAACATCAAACATCTTAGCTATCTCCAGACCACACCTAGGAACATCAAACATCTTAGCTATCTCCAGACCACACCTAGGAACATCAAACATCTTAGCTATCTTCAGACCACACCTAGGAACATCAAACATCTTAGCTATATCGCCAGACCACACCTAGGAACATCAAACATCTTAGCTATATCGCCAGACCACACCTAGGAACATCAAACATCTTAGCTATCTCCAGACCACACCTAGGAACATCAAACATCTTAGCTATCTTCAGACCACACCTAGGAACATCAAACATCTTAGCTATCTTCAGACCACACCTAGGAACATCAAACATCTTAGCTATCTCCAGACCACACCTAGGAACATCAAACATCTTAGCTATCTCCAGACCACACCTAGGAACATCAAACATCTTAGCTATCTTCAGACCACACCTAGGAACATCAAACAACATCTTAGCTATATCCAGACCACCACACATCTAGGACCACACCTAGGAACATCAAACATCTTAGCTATCTTCAGACCACACCTAGGAACATCAAACATCTTAGCTATCTTCAGACCACACCTAGGAACATCAAACATCTTAGCTATCTTCAGACCACACCTAGGAACATCAAACATCTTAGCTATCTTAGCTATCTTCAGACCACACCTAGGAACATCAAACATCTTAGCTATCTTCAGACCACACCTAGGAACATCAAACATCTTAGCTATATCCCCAGACCACACCTAGAAACAACAAACATCTTATCTATCAACAGACCACATCTAGGAACAACAAACATCTTAGCTATCTCAAGACCACACCTAGGAACATCAAACATCTAAGCTATCTTCATACCACACCTAGGAACATCAAACATCTTACATCTCAGACCACACCTAGGAACATATCTTCAGACCACACCTAGGAACATCAAAACATCAAACATCTTAGCTACACAGACCACACCTAGGAACATCAAACATCTTAGCTATCTTCAGACCACACCTAGGAACATCAAACATCTTAGCTATCTTCAGACCACACCTAGGAACATCAAACATCTTAGCTATCTTCAGACCACACCTAGGAACATCAAACATCTTAGCTATCTTCAGACCACACCTAGGAACATATCTTCTATTCAGACCACACCTAGGAACATCAAACATCTTAGCTATCTTCAGACCACACCTAGGAACATCAAACATCTTAGCTATCTTCAGACCACACCTAGGAACATCAAACATCTTAGCTATCTTCAGACCACACCTAGGAACATCAAACATCTTAGCTATCTTCAGACCACACCTAGGAACATCAAACATCTTAGCTATCTTCAGACCACATCTAGGAACATCAAACATCTTAGCTATCTTCAGACCACACCTAGGAACATCAAACATCTTAGCTATCTTCAGACCACACCTAGGAACATCAAACATCTTAGCTATCTTCAGACCACACCTAGGAACATCAAACATCTTAGCTATCTTCAGACCACACCTAGGAACATCAAACATCTTAGCTATCTTCAGACCACACCTAGGAACATCAAACATCTTAGCTATCTTCAGACCACACCTAGGAACATCAAACATCTTAGCTATCTTCAGCTATCTTCAGCACCACACCTAGGAACATCACATCTTAGCTAGGAACATATCTATCAGACCACACCTAGGAACATCAAACATCTTAGCTATCTTCAGACCACACCTAGGAACATCAAACATCTTAGCTATCTTCAGACCACACCTAGGAACATCAAACATCTTAGCTATCTTCAGACCACACCTAGGAACATCAAACATCTTAGCTATCTTCAGACCACACCTAGGAACATCAAACATCTTAGCTATATCGCCAGACCACACCTAGGAACATCAAACATCTTAGCTATCTTCAGACCACACCTAGGAACATCAAACATCTTAGCTATCTTCAGACCACACCTAGGAACATCAAACATCTTAGCTATCTTCAGACCACACCTAGGAACATCAAACATCTTAGCTATCTTCAGACCACACCTAGGAACATCAAACATCTTAGCTATCTTCAGACCACACCTAGGAACATCAAACATCTTAGCTATCTTCACACCACATCAAACATCTTAGGACCACATCAGGAACATCAAACATCTTAGCTATCTTCAGACCACACCTAGGAACATCAAACATCTTAGCTATCTTCAGACCACACCTAGGAACATCAAACATCTTAGCTATCTTCAGACCACACCTAGGAACATCAAACATCTTAGCTATCTTCAGACCACACCTAGGAACATCAAACATCTTAGGTTACCTATCCTGTTTAATAATTACAAAAGAGTTACCTACCTTGTGTAGTAATTACAAAGCTACCTACCCTGTGTAGAAGTTCTGTGCCGCCCTTCTGATTTATTGGTGTTAGCTTCACATTTTTAAGCACTCCTTGCAAATCTGAATCCATTTTTGTATTAGCAAATTCCTTTTCTTCAAAGTCTGCTATTTGTTCTAATAGATCTCTAAAAGAAAAAAGAAAAAAAAATTCAGGTTCAACAGCCATTTCCTGAATTACCAGCAAATATATATATATATTGTACAACACAATGTCAAACTTAAAAAGCTCTATTATGTGATTTTATTAACTGAACATTGAAACCAAAGAATAAAGACAAAAACAATTTTTTTCAACAAATGCACATGATATTTGTCCTTTGGGTGCATTTAAATGAAAACCCAGGTCATCTAAACAATAATAACTTGGAAATATGCAGTGGATTTTATTCAAAACATGCAAGGACTGAACCTAACACAATAAGAACACCAGCAGGCTGCCATTTACATTTAATTTTTCCAATTTGTGAAGGAAAATAAAGAAAAAAAAAAGAAAAAAGAACGATAAAACAACACACTAGAGCTCAAGTTTTACTGTTCCATACATATAAATTAACATCATGACACATATAAACTTCTGCTTAAAGTTTCACTGTTTGCCATGCTTACCGATTTTCCAATTCTGAGATATCAGCTGCTAGTTTAAGATGCCATTTTTCTGCTTGCATGAACATCTGTCGACAAAGTAAGATATTCGTGTGCGATGTATTGATGAGTTCATCATCTACTTCTCCCCGCACTACCGTCAGAAGTCCATCCAACATATCCGTAACTTCATCTATGGTGTATGTTGTCTCATCAAGTCTGGAAAAAATGTTGGATTCTGAATTTCTTTCTTTTCCTAAACCCACTTTATGAAAACAAAATTCATCTCTTTGGGACAAACAAAACTTTTTGATAAAAAATATATTATGCAAACACTGAAATTAAATTTCATCAAATATGTTGACACTTTATCCACCAAGATAAAAAGCTTTGTTCATACACGAAATATCAGTCACATTAAAACTATAATGATATTTTATATAAATCTTTAATTGTAACAAATTTAATGTTAAGGAAGTAAATATAATTAATTGGAATCAATTTTAAATCAGAAAATACCTGCTACTTTTCAAGTCTTCAAAACACATATCAACAGCTCTCAGTCTTTGACCGCGCTGGTAACGAGCAAATCTCATATAGTTGATGACTTGAGCCTGATGGTGCTCATTTACTCCAAGTTTTGCAGTCTGTAAGCAAAATATACTTGTAAAAATATGCAAACAAAAAGGAAATGAAGGCTACAACTACATGATAAAACAAAGGCTAGTACTGATAAAATGGGTGTTAGCTAGAACCTGACTCATGTAAAAACAAGCACAATATAAGGGATTTGTAGTAGAGTTCAATTTAGATTTCATACTGTTTACATTTGAGAATGTCACAATGACAAAAGATAATACAATGTGAGTGGGGTGGATGAAGCTGAAGATGTTGATTCTTGTGGAACACCTCACCTTATTCTCCTGTGAGTCTCCATATAAAACTTTTCTAGTTCATACTTGACCTTTGTTTCAGTTATTTTGAGTTTGCGTTATGATTTTTTTTAGATTTATGAATATTCTTGTTTTTTATCAAATGCATGTATCCACAGATGAAGTAAAGAGAAATGTTTAATTTGGGAAAGTTATGACAAGGAGCAAATTTGAAATCATAAATAGTACATTTGTAGGTTAACTCTGTTTGGTAAATATTAAGTTTTAAAAAGTGGGAAAATCCTTTTGTCAACATTTTAAATGTAACAATATGCAGGTTCAAATCTGGACAGGCCTACCATTATCAATATAGACTTTGAAAGGCTTTGATGGCACTTGTCAGATACCAAATCAAGGTCAGTAAGATCATTCCTCTGTTATAAACAAATATCCTCGACCAACCCATGAACAAAATCCTGTATATCTACTGGTACCATGTATTCTGGGTTTACATGTATTGATAGGAAATAAGGAGAACACCTGTGGCAGGTAAACGCCTGACTTCTGGTCAGAAATGAAGATATATGTATATATACATATTTGTGTGTGTACGTCTCTTGTAGTTATTAGACTGTTGTGTGCACTGCTGATTATTCTAACAATTGCAGCGCTCGTTTAAAATGAAAAGGGCAGTATGTAAAATGTCTATTCTTCTTCCAATTGAAATGATGATAATCAGGACAATCTATTTATATTTATGTTTCAAACAATAAGCAGATGCAAAGCAAGATCCTTCATCAATCGGTGGAATAATTCAGTCTCGTTCAGTATCCGATTTGCATTTAGTAACAGGTTTGCTCACTGTTATATGACAGCTGACACAAGCAGAAACATATATATCTGATCACATAAACACACGTGGTTGTAACATTACTATGCAGGATTATCAAACTTGACGAAATTTTTTTATCATGACTTCTGTTCTTAAATCATTACACATCTTACCATTTTCCAGTGAATGTTTATTCAACGGACGGAATATGATTCAGTGAAGAATTTAGTGTTTGTGGACGGATGCGACTCTTGTTTCAAACCGAGGCTTCACAGACCCGCGGTAAATAAACCATACATATTAAATACTATTGTAATTTAGAAACTCATTTAAGCACATTGTGTAATGATTATTTTATATGATATGGTACAATATTGTAATTTTTACATTTTTATTAATAATCAATCACATTTTTCATTTCAGTGTGAGACACTTGCTCGACAAAATGGCGGCACAGGGTAGGCGAACGCATGGCATTGAATCTATAGGATCGTATTTCTGTCTGAATTTTCCACTCAGTACTAATTCTAACACCACAAGTAAAATTTAATCTTGATTTTCTGTTAAAGTGATCATGTATACAAAATTATCTTTCTATCTGGAAAGAAAACACATGCGCCATGTGGGAGCACCGTGGCAGTTCCATATTTCGGTCACTTCGTGTTCCATATTTCAGTAACGGACAAAGATCACGGAGATCAGGCGATTACCAGACATTTCCTTTTTGTTTGTCAATGCATAAATAACTGAAATGTAGTTGGGTACATTTCTTCCCAACTTGATTTCGCTCAGTTTATGAGGATTGAAAATATTTTTTCTGCTGTCAGTACGGTCTGGGTCAACCACAGGGTCTTGTTGACATTTGTCATTGGTACGGAAGTCGAAGGAGCGTGATTCTACTGATCATCACAACTTAACTTCCAAAATTTTCAGTTAGGTTCCTTCTTACCCATGGGTTATGTCGGGAAGTATAAGATTGTATTGAGTCTTGTTACATGTCAAAAGGAGGGAACAAGATTTCCATGTCACATGTCATAGGGAGGGGACAAGAGGATTTGTTTGTCAGAAGTCACTGGGAGCTAACATATGATTACCTTGTTACATCTCATATGGATGGAACAGTGGGATATCCTTGTCATATATAATAGGGAGGAGGCAACAGGATATCCTTGTCACATGTCATAGGAAGTTTACAGCAGGATTTGCATGTCACATGTCATAGGCAATATACACGATAGAATCCAAACATTTTCCAATACCAGAGCTTGAATATTTACTTTCTGTTCAATGACAAAAAGACACAGGAAAATGAGATCTTCATGAGATAAAAAAAGCAAGAATATTCATTGCTTTTTGACAAAACTTGATTTCATAACTCTTATAAATGACTAGCTGTCTAGCTGGTATACTGCAAAGCTAGAAAAAACCTCTTAGTTTAGTTGGTTAAGGGTAAAGTTATACAGGCCTTGTACCAATTATTACTGGAGCATTTAATCTGTGTTACATTGATGCTCATATAGTAATGGACTCCAAAGGTATGGATGATTTGCTTCACTTAACGTCGCACAAATATTGCTGTTACCCTTACAAAGCTTATTGAAAAGTGCTTTCCTGAAGGGGGAGTATGTAACCTTGGTTACTGCTAACTGAATTACACTGCTTAGCTTGGGAGAGCTTCTGTTAAGCTGGATTGGTAGAGTGTAGGACAACTAGTTGTAGTAAACCAGAAGTCCTAGAGTGTTTTGATCCTTAGCAGAGGCAGTTGAAGTATAATGGCTTTTAGCTGTGTTACAGTTTGCGATTGAAAAGTATGAGATCAATGTAAAGTATGAGATCAACAAATCATATGTATCATTGGTTTTGGAGTAATATTGGGTAATTTCTCACTATAGGCTCCAATATACAGTCTATAGAAAGAAATCTGATGGAGAGATCTACATGTAAAATACACACAGTTTGTTTATTTATTGGTCCTCCAGTTAAAAAGAACTGAGTTACCAATACTTAGTGAAATCTCAAAGTCAGGTTTGCTGCCATTGATATTTCAACCAATTGAGATAAATGCTTGCAGTAGGATTTTAATGTTTGCAGCTTATAATTATCATTATTATTTATTGTCTGTCTTGGTTCAGCTGAAATTATTCTAGCTAGTGGAATATAGGTTCATGCATTATTCACTTACATTCTCTAATACTAACTTCACAAGTTTCATAAAAATGGTTTTTTTTCTGATATGCTTATTATGTATCATAAAAACATAATTATTTTTTTTGATGATAGGGAAGAAGAAGCAGAAGATGAAGGGCACTAAGATGGCCCTGACCGATTTCTTGTCGGATGACAAGATCGGCAATCAGGACTCAGGTGGAGGCTCCAACAGTTATGGAAGTGGAAGTTACGGAGGCCGGGATTCAAGAGGTTACGGTGGAAAGGTGGATTGGGCTGCAGAGATGGACTCCTTGTCTATGGATGGTGAGTTTGTGTGCAGAGGCATGTTGGCTAAGTATATGTAGTATGATACAACAAATTAAAGTATAGAAAAAAATTGAAAAAATGAAATAAGGAAAAATATGCTAGGTTCAAAATGGAAACAAGACAGCGCATCTGGTAAATATTTGAGGTCTGAGTTTTATTTTTTGCAGTTGGAGTTCTCTTTGTTTGACATATGATGGCACCATGTCACATTTAGTGCTGGTTTTATTTCAGACATGGGTGACATGGAGTATGTTAAGCCAATGATTGACCGATCCAAGCTACCGACAGCCCCAAAAGCTTCACGAGGACCAGATGTAGACATGTCCAAAGTCCCCACAAATCCTCCATTTACTGCCTTCATAGGAAACCTGCCATACGAGGCATCGGAAATGAGTATAGAAGATTTTTTTCAAAAATTAAATGTAAGTCATTCCTTACTTTTAGTTAAGAGGTCTAAAATTTGTTGTTAAAATCCCCACTATTAGGGAGATAATCTCACCTTGTTCCAATGGGCCACATGTTATTCTTTCATAGCTTTCAATGTATGCATTCTCTGACATCGTTCCACAGTGGTAAAGTTGTTATGATTTAAACTCATCATGTCTGTCTTGTCATTAAAATTATCAGTCTGTTCAATATTGGCACAGTTATTCACATGACATGCAATATCACAGAGGATGAATAAATTCATATCCAGCAGCTGCCTGGCGATAAGTTCACCCCTATGTATAAATGTTTCAATAGAAATGATGAAAATGCTATGTGATTGCCCTGTAAAAAGTGTGTTTTAGGTCAAAGGTTAGGCTTTTATTGGTGTCTATTGGTTATTGCTGGATGCATATTGTAGGTGTGAAGTTTCATGTTTGTTATCAAACCATCAAGAGATATTGTTTTCATAGGTTGATGAATCCATTAAGATTGCAAAAAAAAGACTCACTGGTCACTGTTGGTAGATTAGTGTTTTTGTGTGGTGAATTTAAAAGAATCTTAATGGTCTAGTCACCTTCAGTGTATAATTACAACCAGACAGCCAGAACGTTCTTGTGTAAATAAATGCTAATCCGTTCCCTGTGACATTGTTTATACGGCATGGTTAATGATGATTGATGATTCTAGTTGTTGTATGATGAAATGGGTTTATTTTACACAGGTCGTAAATGTACGGCTTCCCAATGATGGAGGACGCCTGCGGGGATTTGGATACGTAGAATTTGCTGACAGACAGTCCCTTATTGATGCATTGGCTATGAATGAGGAGGTAATTACATGGCCAATATTTGATATAAACCTGATAGGGGGTATACTGTAATCAGGTTGTCCATCTGATGCAACTATGTACCGGCTACTCCTTCTAAAGTACTGAATGGACTTCATCAATACTTGCTGGCTATAATCTTTATACTTTGCAAATGTGTGTAATCTGTAACAGATTGAGTTACCTCCCCATTTCAGAAAGTTATGGCCCATTGAAAATGCAATGATGTACTGGCTACTCCTCCTATACTACTGAGTGGATTTCAACAAAACTTGTTGGGAATAATCCTTATACATCGCCAATATGTGTAATCTCTATAAAGTTGAATCATCTCCCCTTTTAGGAAACTCTTTTGGTTTTTTTCTTTCCTTCTTTTATTTATTTGTTTTAATCAGATTTGGTAAAAGCTTTTTTACATTTCTTTCAGACCATGGGTGGACGCCAAATACGTGTAGATTTAGCAGGACAAAATCAACAAAATGGTTTGTAAACTGTAAAATATGACTCGGTACAGATTCAATCTAGTATTTCAACATTTAAACAAAAATACTTGAATATGTTGTTCTGCAGAAATTGCCTTTAAGATGCAGGCCACTTTTGTTAATGCAGAAAAACATGACATTAAAAACATTAATTGAGACTGACCTGCACAAATATATATATTGATACTGTCTTGAAAGACTTCAAGCAGAAAGTCACTTCGTTGGAGTTACCTCCCTTCGGTTAATATTAACTTTAAAAACATGTGTATCCTGTTGTATTATGTTTTGAATGATTTGTAACATAAGTCTTTTTTCATAAACAATGACGTAAAGTACTCAACAGAAACCAATACATTTATCTTTGTCATCCCGAATACTGATTATTAAAATAACATATTAAAGCTAAGAAAGATTAATCCTAAAGATCAAGTTTCTTTTCATTCACTGCTCACAAGAACTTTAAAAAATCTGTTTTCTGTGCAATTGTGATGTGTTATCCTTTTCAAATTTGGTAATGCCATTGTTTCTGAATCTTTGAATTGATTTGAAATGTTTGATTAATCATGGAAACCCTTCAACAGAAGCATTCAGGGAGCTTGTTGTAATACTGACAGTATACATTTGTCATTTTCACAGATAGAGGTGGTGGTGACAGAGGTGGGTTTGACAAACGAGAGAATGATGGCCCAGACCGGACAGACAGTGACTGGAGACGGCGAGACCCTCACCAAGACCATGCACCTAACACTGCTGGTAAAACAATCTTTACTAAGTTCATTGTATATATCTGCTCTTGCAGACAAAATAATTCAAACTACAAATCAAAGTTTTCCGCTTGTTTCTTTTCCTTTTTTTGTACCGATTGAAAAAGGGAGTTAAAAAATTGATGATACAGAGATTATATGATATGGTCTTAATTTTGATGAAGTTTTTTTATTTAATTTGAAAATATCTTATTTCACAAATTGAAATGGAGCACAATCAGGTCAAAATCTTAATGGATAGAAGAATGGGGAAAACCGATATTTACTTTTGGAAAATTGAAATTTTACGTCAAAAGACATACCCAAAATTGTTAAAGATGATGGCACTTTAGTTTCTAATCAAGTGGGTATTTTAATGAAATAAAGATATTTTATGAAAAATTGTATAGTTGAAATGATGAAATGTTTGAAAAATAGGAGACTCATTTTCTCTTTCTTCTGGGTCAATAGCAGATAGAATAAAAACAGTATTTAGTAAGCTTATTCGCATGTATCAACACATTTTATTTCAGGAGAATACATTGGGAAAAATACAATTAAGTTAAGGCAAAAAAAATTTTTTAACTTTTCCATTTGAAGCCCAGCCCACAGCTACCTAGGGATTTAAGAAATGATAACCCACCTGCAATAATGTTTCAGACCAAATTTATTAATCTACTAAGGCATTAAGAAGGAGTAGTGTACAGTAGATGAATAATAAATGCATTTTCAATATTAAAGATTCTGAGCGGAGTGGTGGACCGAACAGGTGGGGAAGTAATCGAGATGACAGGGGACCACCTTCAAGAGGGGGTTACGATAATGATCGAGGAGGATATGACAGAGGCCCATCAAGAGGAAGTGGTTTCAGCAGATATGAGGAGGCACCAAGTAGAGACAGATATGATGATCGAGGCCCTTCAAGGGGTTATGATGATCGGGGGCCTCAAAGGGGTGGCAGTTATAACAGAGATGATAGAGGACCCTCCAGAGGATATGATCGCTACGAAGACCGTGGTGGTCGGGATGGTGGTTATGGAGGTAATAGAGGCAGAGGTTATGGGAGATATGATGATGGCAGAGGTCATGGAGATCGAGGCTACGACAGAGGTGAGCTGTTATCCTCCGATTCTCAGCTTGGTGCTTTCCGTTACTTCTTCAAACTCTGCCAATCAGAATTGTTTATTCAATGTAGGATACAAAGAAAGGTAAAACAGATGATGACAAAATCTTTTAATCGTGTAGTTTACTGATGTTATCTTGATATTTACTATGTATTTCAATGTACAGAAAAGCAGTTTAAGCCATTAGGCTTAATCCAGGTTTTGTCATATTTTTTTTCCTCCAGAATTTCAACATCATAATAGAAACGACTGAGAAATGCAAATTTAAAGCTTTGTGCTATTTTTAACTCTGTAAAAAGTTGAAGGTATAAAACCAAATCAAAAGTGGGTGGAAAATAGACTGAAAAAAATGTCAAGTAGACAAAATTATCAGATGCAATTCAAATTGGTGGAGACATTTCATGAAGCAAAGAAAATGATCACAACATTATGTCACCAGCTGAACAAATGATACAACATCCATACAATAATGAGATAACAATTGATGCTGGAAGAGAGAGTATGAAATACAACTCATTTTCACCTGTAAAGCTGGCAACATGTGACTACCAGATTTGGATGACAACTCCCTTTGTTTAAAAGAACAGTGGCTATCTGTCAATAAACAGCTAACAGTGGCTATCTGTCAATAAACAGCTAACAGTGGCTATCTGTCAATAAACAGCTAACAGTGGCTATCTGTCAATAGACAGCTAACAGTGGCTATCTGTCAATAGACAGCTAACAGTGGCTATCTGTCAATAAACAGCTAACAGTGGCTATCTGTCAATAAACAGCTAACAGTGGCTATCTGTCAATAAACAGCTAACAGTGGCTATCTGTCAATAAACAGCTAACTTGTCTGAATCTTAGAGCCTGTAATTCTGGTCAGATTTAGCCAACTGGAGTTTGAAGAGATGTGATTCATTGAACATTCCTGGCTTTCATTCATCAGCTTCCTTGCAGTGTTCATCATTTCTTACTTCAGAACCAGAAAGATTTTTTTTTATCATACCTTCAAGATTTATGTTCCAGCAACTTTTGAAGTCTTCAAAAGATTTACTAGCATTTTCAAATAATATATATTGCAGCTTAATCATGATTTAGGGTCCTTGTATACCATTCCTCATACTGATTTCCTGATGATGTCTTTTGAACTGATTATCTGTAAATATTCTATTTATGCCTATTGATATCATTTATCATGAATACTAAGTCTGAATCCGAGAAATGCTTAGATTGGTTTTTATTGGACAACCTGGTCTGAATCTAAGAAATTCACAAATTAGATTTTTTGTACTCCGAGATATGATTTTATGATATGTAGATTCAGAAATGCTCCTTTTTAATACTATGGAACAATCAAACATCTTAAAGTAAATAAATTCTACACATTTTACAGATGGAGGCCGACGTGGCTATGGATCGGGTTACCGTAATGATGACCGAGGTGGTTATGATAACAGGTATGGGGCCAGGTTGGTGTCATTTTCATAAGCACTTTAACATAAGTTAGAATCCAGATGAATTATGGTCTGCTTCTAAAATCCAAAGTCATCATGTATTACAATATTGCTACATATACTGTAGTGTTTTACTTGTTTTTTTTTTTTTTAATTTTCACCAATTCTGCTGTTTTTTATCATATTAACTTGATGAAAGTCATTGTCCTAACTCATTTCTCTTTGTTAATGTACGGTAGTTTTACTTGTTCTCTTAGTCATCCTCTTTTTCCTGTAAAAAAAAAAGATTTTTTTTGGTTAAATTATGAAATAAACAATGCAATAGACATGAATTGTTTATAATGCTATAACATGAAAGTGATCAACATATTTTACTTTTCAGCAGATATGACCGAAGTAGCCAAGAGCCTAGTCAAGGTAAGATCAATGGAGTTTTGAAGCAGTGTTACTAGGGATACAAAACTATTTGTTATACTTATGAGTTATCTATCACTTTTGGTCATATTAGGTGAGTTTAGTATCTGAAGTAAGAAAGTAACTTAAAACCATGAAGGAAAAGGTTAGTTGTCCAGTAAGTAGAGTGTAGTTGGCCATTTCTCTACAGCAGCTGGTACTTAGCATTATAATTGTTGATTGCACTTATAAATAACTTTATATAGAGTCAGTTTCATAAAGCTTGGTTTTTAGAAATGGCTGATTCATTGTTGTCTCAATTTCTTGCAACATATTCTGATATAATTCTGCTTTTTCAGATGCTCCTAAAGAGAGGCCAAGGCTGAATTTACAGCCACGTACAAAACCGGTGGAAGAGGTGGCCAAGCCCCAAGTGAAGGCCGTACCTGCAGAAAGCAGGTAAGGTAGCATTCCATAATGAGGATGTCTGTAGTCTGTCCATCTGTATACAATTTTTATTATCATTATTTCTTGAGAAGTACTGTCTTTTTGGACTGCTCAGAAAAATCAAAATGGCTTCCAGGCAACCATCTTGGATTTACTGGTTAAAGATTATTATCACTTTTTCTGTTAAGGAATGTTAAAAAATTTTTATCATTAAGAGTGAAAACAGAGGAGAGAAGACAAAAAGAAACTTTTAAAGAAGAGATAAAGATTAAACAATGGTGGGTGCCATGATACTACTCATCAGATTCGATTGTTTTGTTTAGGAATAGTTTTTGAAAATCACAAACCCATATTTTTTTTTGTTTTTGTTTTTTTGAGGTGAGGAATATACTATTACACCCATGTCTGTTCATCCTATTGTGTTGTGTCTTGTGAAGTTCCATCCTGGGCCAAAGCAATATCATATCTTGAAATCCTCTTAACAGATTTGGTTCATTTGGCCCGATAGTATGTTACCCTCAAATTCCACAGATAAAGTGGTCATTGGTCAAGGTTAAAGGGTCAAATGTTACAGTAGGCATGGGAACGATGGTATTTATAGCGTTCAAAATGTGTGTGAGAAAGAGAGGAAGGTGGAATCCCAATATTGACCGGTACATTGTATTATCTTTATAAGGTCAGCTTCTATATTTGGGAGTGCCAAACCTGTAGACACAGCAGCTAAGGAACGAGAAATTGAAGAACGTCTAAAGAAGAAAGAAGAAGAATACCGTAGAGGGTATGATGATGAGAAGGAAAACAGGAACTAGTGAGTAAATCTGTCAACTTTATAAATATATATTTCATGTGCTTGAAGTTGATTTAACTCAAAGCTGCAATTTTTTTTCTTTTTTTTTGTAAAACATGTTCTGTGGGGTCACAATGAAAACTACTTTTTAGATTGTAAATTTCTTCTGCTATGTTTGTGGTATTTAATAAGATAGAATCAAACCATTAGATTTAGTTGTTAAAGTTAAGTGTTAATTCAGCAGCATGAAGTGGAAACTACTATAATTCATAGAAAGAAATAGAATTTATTTTGTGTCAATGATTTTCACAGTCACAACAACTCCCAGTCTGTTAGTCACAGTGGGCCGGCGAGGACACGACATGATTCTACAGAGAAAATGGAGGGGCGACAACGGCGACTGAGTAGTGGAAGTAGTGGTAAAGGCCGGCCTGGTGAGTATTGACACTGCTCCTATTGTCAGTAGTATCTTTAGGCCGGACACCAAATATTGTCACACATTATTTTGTTTGACGTTTTTTGCTACCATTGATTTCTGCTTTTCTTAAATTCAAGGAACATGAACCTTTCTCCATTGTTGCATGATTAAAGGTCTTCGGCAAACAATGTTTTGCAGGTTTTTATATTTAGACATAGATATCACCTGGATAGTACCCTAAATCAGTTTTCACCTCTCAATACAGTTGTAGCCAAGTGTGTTCGGCTACAGGTAAATTTCGTAACCTGTCCGCGCTTCAGCTTTCTCTGGTAGCTTTCGGAAATCTTCGGCACCCAAAATCTGTGAAGTCAATTCTGCAAGATGGTAGTGACTGGTGTAAACAGTGTTAGTCTCATGTGATATGGTAGTTTTAAAATTTGTCTTATTTCAGCAGTGATTGTACACTCATAGCTGTTTGTGCAAACTTCTTAAATACAAAACGATATGGAAAAAATGTGAAACCTAACAATGAACAATAAGTAACAAATCAATCGGGTGAACTCTTCAACAACTACCCAACATGTTAATTTCTATATCTACCCAACATGTTAATTTCTATATCTACCCAACATGTTAATTTCTATATCTACCCAACATGTTAATTTCTATATCTACCCAACATGTTAATTTGAAGACATCCATTTCAGCTGGTGCTGACATCCCTTTCATGTCAAGGCTATACACTATGTATTTTAAAGTGAAACATAAAGTAAAATAGTACCAAATATCACAGTTAGATGTAAAAATAAAACTGGCAATATGGTGATGTTTTGGAGAAGAAAAAAAGAAAAAGAAAGAAACAGAGCTAATTTTCTTTTTAAACAACTTCTTCTCAATGACCAAAGGACCAAATGTTTTGGTATTTGGTTGGTATGTTTCAAAGGTGAAGCCTGACAAAGTTTGCGAAAAGATTAGACCTTGCCCAAAATTCAAAGTCTCTGGTAAAAAATTGTAAAACATCAGAACAAAATTTGTTTTCATGAGCTAAGAGGCCTAGAGGCATGATATTTGACTGATATATATTTCTACATGTGAAAAGAAATGACTGATCTATATTCAAGGTCAGGGATCAAATTTGTAATCACCTTTAAACAACTTTTTCTCTTGAACTAAAAGGCCTAGAGGCATGATATTTGATTGGTATATATATATACCAGGTGAGCGCTGCAGACCCTTTGTGCTTTTTGTTGTATAAGTTATTAAAATGTGAGCTGAGAGTTCATTTCTCTATGTAATACATGTAAAACTGGCAGTTTTGCTGTCTTATCCAAGTGAATTCACAGTCCAATTAACAAATTAGTGCCCTGTCAGGGCAATGAATAGTATGTACTTAGGTACCCCATGGGAATTGGAAACGTAACAGCAATGAAAAATGTGATGAATATTGCATTTAACAAACACTTTTTATTGAGATTAAACAGATCTTCATTTTTGAAACAAAAAAGTGAAAAGATGGTTCTTATCACTGAAGTGAATACAAGACGAAATTCGTAAAATGAACAAAATAATATAAAATGATACACAGAAGTTGTTACATATGTAAATATAGATTTGCGTTGAACGAATGAAGTTAAAATAACTTATATTCACCTTGCCATTCATCTGTATGCCTATTTCATCAAAATACTGTATGCCTACTTTAATGTTAGTGTCGGCCAAGGCATGAAGCCATTCATCACCTGAATCATCATTACTGTACATTGTTTAGTTACTGCAAGACTCAAACTGTTATTGTTTAATAACAAACTCTAATTTTAGTCATTAAATGTTGCTGGACAAGCTTATTTACTGAGATATAGCCGTACACAGTCTTCATAAACTCTTCTGATAAATATGTTTCTAGTGGTAAACAAAGAAACACTACTTGTGATCAATGTTTTTTGTTATTTAAGTTAATTTAAATGCAAGATATTTGCCAGAAGTTTTAAGTCTGTAAAATGAAAATTTTGTAGGTCCCCACCCTATCACATCTCCATCAAGGTCACGACGGGACAGCGAGATCTCAAATAACTCAGCCGAAGTGTTTTCTGGGGGCGAGGATAGTAAGGACACTCCAAAAAGTCCTGTGTCCACCACACAGCGTGAGGATGTGAAATTGGTGCCTGCCCCACCACCCTCTGTAAACATCTGGGAGAAACGGAAAACAGATGGTCCACATACAACCACATCACCTCCGAAGAGTGAATCTAAGTCAGCACCACCACAACAGACAGAGGTAGGTAGATATATCTATGACAGCACCACCACAACAGACCGAGGTAGATAGATCAATCTAAGTCAGCACCACCACAACAGACAGAGGTAGGTAGATATATCTATGACAGCACCACCACAACAGACCGAGGTAGATAGATCAATCTAAGTCAGCACCACCACAACAGACAGAGGTAGATAGATCAATCTAAGTCAGCACCACCACAACAGGCGCAGGTAGGTAGATATATCTAGGTCAGCACCACCCTCACATACAGAAGTAGGTAGATATACCTAGGTCAGCACCACTCTCACAGACAGAGGTAGGTAGATATATCTATGACAACACCACCCTCACAGAGGTAGGTAGATATATCTATGACAACACCACCCTCACAGACAGAGGTAGGTAGATATATCTATGGCAGCACCACCACAACTGACAGAGGTAGGTAGATATATCTATGACATCCCCACCCTCACAGACAGAGGTAGGTAGATATATCTATGACATCCCCACCCTCAGAGGCAGAGGTAGGTAGATATATCTATGACATCCCCACCCTCACAGACAGAGGTAGGTAGATATATCTATGACATCCCCACCCTCACAGACAGAGGTAGGTAGATATATCTATGACATCCCCACCCTCACAGACAGAGGTAGGTAGATATATCTATGACATCCCCACCCTCACAGACAGAGGTAGGTAGATATATCTATGACATCCCCACCCTCACAGACAGAGGTAGGTAGATATATCTATGACATCCCCACCCTCACAGACAGAGGTAGGTAGATATATCTATGACAGCACCACCCTCACAGACAGAGGTAGGTAGACATATCTAGGTCAGCACCACCCTCACAGACAGAGAATGGCATAGTTACAAGATCAACCTTAAGGGCAAATTACTGTTTTTGTGTCACCAAAACTTTAAAGTTTGACCCCTTTGCTGTGATCCTGTGATCTGTGACTGTTTTTAGAATTACTGGTCCTTTGATATATATCCTGGTCGTCTTTCAGGCATCACAACCAGCTCCTTCAGCTTGGGGGAGAGGTCGCCGCATGGACGGACATGCAGAAGATGCTCCAAGTAGTAATGCATGGGCAAAGAGATCACATGACAAACCAAATGGTATCTGTCGTATAAAACGAAGTCACTTGCATTCAGTTTTCATATGTTGATAATCCAATACATTTTGTAGAGAAAAAATTCAAAATTACAATGGATCACATGAAAATGACAATTCAGTATCAGATCAGATATAACCTTTACTATGTATTCTTTAAATAAACAAAATTGAAATTGCTTATCCATCTGCTTGTTTTTGGAGAAGGAGCTTTAAATAAAGACAGTAGACTTGGTCTTAGAAAGAGTTTTGAATGTAATAACTATCCAATATTTTGCTATTACAGAACACCATCGGCCAGCAGGACGAGGGGGGAATGCATGGGGACGAGGGGGCAAGTCACAGTAAGTTCTTTCTACCCAAGGCATATATTGGTCATTCTAAAATAATGGTTATGTAACACAACTTCTTATTGGATAATTTTCATCATATGATCCCAGATATACTCATGAATTGGGATGCTATCTCAAAGATGGCTGCCATCTTTCTGGTTGAGGCAGAGGATCAACATTGACATCGGAGAAATTAATTATAACAAAATGCTAACATATGTCAACCAGTTTCAGTGTTTTTCTTTCTTGTTTTTTAATTTTGTTGATATTGCAATAATGACCTTAATCACCTTTAGGCAGAATTGGGATAGAATGTTTTTTATACATATACTGAAGATTAGACCATGAATTTCTTTGTTTAACACTTGACTTTACCTCCTGTTAAAACCAAAATTCCTTATCTAGTCTCAAGTGTATACATAAAACAAGCATACCGCCTTTCCCCTAATTTATCAAATAAAAAGTAAGTTTTATTAGGTCATTAGGAGGCAAAAAGTAAAATTTATTTTCATTAAGAGTCATACCTGTGAATACAATATCAAATACTCCAGTGGTATCAGCTGATAAGTATGAATGAAAGAAATTTTTAACTTTTTGGCACTTTATAGATGTTGCATCAAAGTCAATATTTTAAAGTTGAAAATTCGATAGACAATAATTTTGTGGGAACAACTGTTGATCTATTGCTAAGCACATACAAACTTTCTTAGCGTTGTAATCATTGCATAGTGCCAGTCTGTCCACCATCATGGCTTTTGTGTTACTGTAAAGAAACAGTGTTGTAGTCAGTTCTTTCCTTATCTGAAAGTCAATTGGGTGAAATAAGTCCAACGACTCTGTATATGATATCTTTGTAAAATACCACATATAATTGTTATGGGATTAGTGAAAAGTAGGATTAGAATCATATCATAATCTAAAGTTTAATTTGATAGAAATCACTTGTGCCAATTAAAATGATTAATGTTTTTTTCTTTCTTTTTCTTTTTTAAGTCCGAGAGAAAAAGTGCTCCCCAAATCAATAGAAGATATGCCTAAACTTGAAAACAAGTCCAAACAGGTAAATTGGCAATTTTTGTTTTGAAAATATAACTTATCTTTAGCTCACTATGAGGTTACGTGGCATGGCGTCCATCATCTGTCCATTGTCTGATGTCCATAAACTTTTTTTCTAGAAAAGGCTACTAGTCATGAACAACTGAACAGATTTTGACCAAATTTGGACAGAAGCATGCTTGGGGGAAGAGCAACTAAGTTTGTATAAATATCGGTTCTTTGCCTGAGAGGCAGGGCTCAAAAGGGGAAATTTATCAAATTATTAAAAAATTCTACTCCTCTAGTATGAATGAATGGATTTTGCTGAAATTTTTTTCAACCACATTCTTCCAAAAGGGGAAGTAGAGCATGCTCTTTCAAATCTTACATCTTCTGAAGGAATGAATGGGTAGTGTCAAATGTGTTCTAAAGCATTCTTGGGTGAAAGGGAATCAGTACAGTTTAGTGGATTACATTCTTCTGGATGGAAGAAGTGTGGCCCAATTTGGGAAATCAATAAATTTCTTTAAAATTCTGCTTTTCTGTTAGGAATCATTGATATTGCCCAAAAAATGAGGGGGAATTTGTTGGGATTCCTGATCATCTGAAGTTTTTTAAAATCCCACTCCTCCTGTAGGTATGAATGGATATTGCCCAAATTTGATCTGAAGAATTCATGAATAAAGGGGAATTATACAAATGAAGGAACAATTTCAGTTAAGAACATTTCCTGTAATTTCGGTAATGATTTGGTTAAATTTCATAGATTTGTAACAATTTGACTTGTTCTGTGACTCTGTTCAACAAGGATTACTAGTTACAGATATTCTGAATGATTCCTCTCATGTAAATGTTGATATGTTTTTGTGTTAAATATAGTAAACATATAGGTGCTATGTAAATTGCAGATGGATTTTTAGGTCATCATGCTCATCTTTCATAGCTGGATTGATTTCAACCAAATTTGGTGTGAAAGATCATCGAGAGTGGAGAATTATTTCTTAAATTCAGAAAGTTGATTTGACTCCTAGTTAATAGGACTGACCTTGATCCGGTTGAAAGGTCATAGGGATCAAATATGTTAAAATCTTTAAATGACTTCTTCTCAGTAACCAAAAGGCTCAGGGTGCTAATATTGAACCAACTTTCAAGGTCACAGGGGTCAGATGAGTTGAAATGGTTAAGCAACTTCTGCTCAATAACTGAAAGGCCAAGAGTCTTGATATTGGGCCTGTAGCATGCTTTTTCAACAAGCAATATGTAATGGAGTAATGGCATTTGTGTAGTGCATGTATAAAGAATATGATTTCAAGTTTGCAGAAAAATGTCTTCATGAACCCACAGTATCTTCTATGTAGCTGTAGAGTAATTGAGCAATTTATTTTAGGCCTATTATGTCTCTTTCATATATAGGTCTTTATAGTCAGATGACTATTTAGGCCCATGGGCCTCTTGTTGTGTTTCTGAGTATGTTAATAGTGATTCATTTTTAGCTCACCTGGCCTGAAGGGCAAATTGATAAAGTATTCTATATGTCACTGTAAAACCTTTAAAATACCTTAATGTATATATATTTATCTGCAGGATTGGAGTGACAAAAACAAGTTTTCCAGTCTCCTTGAAGACGAAGATGACTTCTAGATACAAAGAAGACATGGTCATGTGACAGTCACATGACTGCCATGTGGCTCTGTAATTCTAAGCTCATTTGTGAAGATTTCTATTTGTCTCACATATATCAATTAATTGCAATATCTGCCCTTTTTCAAATGGCTTAATTTATACATGGGAATGAGAATCATTGTTCTTGATTTTTTGCCTAAAAGGAGTTCAGCATTTTGTTTGTCCGACCGTCCTCACCACAGTTACTGTTAACGTGGACATTGCACATTGCACTGTGTATCATCATGGGTTTTTTTCTTGAGCATGTATAAGCGACAACATCGTCGGACGCTATTCATTAAAGTTCATTTTTATTGTTGAAAAGATGTTTGTTCATTTGAACAATAAATGCCATGAGGGGAGATGTTTTTTTTTTTTAATTTAAGTTGAAGGGACAAGAAGTACAAACTTATGTCCATTTTAGGGGCATGCTCTTTCTCCATTTTTATAGGGTAATTTATACCGGATATATGTGGACATTTGTTACTGCCAGAGGTTTCTGTGGTTAAATATGATAGAAAGTCTGATATTAAGATAGTTCACTCACTATTTCGTGATGAAATATGAAACAGATATGAATAACTCTTTTTAAGCAATCTGTACACCTAAGGATAGATTTGTTGCATCCTATCAGTGAGAGTGAATCAATGACCAGATTTGGCCAATACCTTATACATGTACTATTTTCCAGTGTTGTTAATAGGAAATGATATGTTGAAAAGAACTTTAAGATAAAGTTTGAAGTTAGAAATGGTCAGTATTGCACTTCTACTCTGTTTGGATGTCTGACATTGTGATGGATTCTTGATTGACATGTGTGATAATGGAAATGGAGTGCTTCATATTTCCATCGTCAGATATTGTGATAAAATCTCTAAACTCCATGGGAAATATAAAAATATTGGACGTAGGACTGGCTTAGGGCAGTACAGTGTTAAACACCACACAACCCAGACAGAAATATTTCTTGTTGTTTAACTCTGGAATTCATTTTTAATACAAACGTGTGTTGCTTATTTCTATGGTGCATGGCTTTTTGAAAGGAGCCGAACATCAGTCGAGAGATGGCTATAATGTCAGTGTTTAAACTGACCTGGTTACCTCTGACTAGTTATGTGTTAATTCTTTGTTAACTTTTGTGATGTAAGTGGTCACCACAAACTGACACCGGTACTTTTAAGGATTAGGTGTGAATCTGATGACATTGGGATTTAGAAATTAAATTTTTTTTTTCTATTTAGTTTCAAACTTCAGTCTTTTTCTGGACATACCCATTTAAGACAATTATGTTAGATAATGGTTGTCATTACAAAACAACCAGGCTATCATTATACAGGTATAGATATATAATCTTTTCACAGACTTTGTGAATTTCCTGAAATGTTGCCCACACATGGGGGCTGGATTATTAAACATTGTTGTCATGCTTCATTGATCAATGAACATGACATGTAAATGTATTTATATTATGTTCTGATTGAACACTGAACTTGACATAAACATGTATCTTCTTGTGTTCTTTAAACTTTTTATAATCCCGATTGTGGTTTATGAGTACCGGCAAGACTGTGTATGGGTGTGCTGTTTTCCAAGGTTTAATTTTTTGAGAGTTTATTTAGCATTGTGTATATTTGTGTGCATCTTAAAAAGTGACTTGGCTGCATTTGAAATAGATGGATCAGGGATTTTTCATTTTTGAAGATTTATACATGTTTATACATGTTATGAACACAAGGCTTGCATTGCTTAACTTTACTTTTCATTGGTGCAACAGTGCTCCTGTTTTTCTATTATCAATGATAAAAAATCTTGAAACAATAATATTGTGAAAAAAAATTTTTTTCGGAGGAAGAGGAACTATACAAAATTCTAAGTCACATTGAATATATTCTGATGCATCAGACTTAATGTCAAAACTATATTCATTTGTAATCATTCACTAAATTTATTTTTTTTCAATGTTGAAATGTGAAAGCATATCAGTATAGTTGGATATAAGTTTCCCATTTTACACATTTTCATTAGTGATTGTACCGGTCAGGATACGTGTAATTTGCATACTGATTAACAGTTCAGTAATTCAAAAACTAGTTTACATTTATTCATTTCTTGTATATATCCATTCATGTTACTGTCCCAGTCATCTGCTGTATAGCAGGAGGTTTTATTTCTTCCCGATCGGTGAGATGCCCAAACTGTACATATGTGTAAACGATCGTGTTCAGCATCTTGACATCATGATTAAATCTTTTGCATTGTAAATAATGCCACCCGATATTGGGTCTTGAATCAATTTAATAAAATATTCCAAACTATACATTTAAATCCTTGATTCATGTTGTTTTTTAAAGCCCTTTTCAGTAGAAGGCTCGTGTGAGCATATGATATTGGGCTCCGTCTGTTATCAGGTTACCAATCAATTTTCAAGTTAGAATTAAGTGACGGTGAACTTTGTATCAACCATCATTAGAATCTATTTTGAAGTGGTATCTTAAATACTATTTGAATGATTTTGAATCGTCAGCAGATGGTTCAGAACAACTCTTGTTCATTACAAGTTCAATATTGCCACTGCAGTCATTATTGGCTAACTTGACCTGAAGGGCAGAGTAAGCTTGTTCTGTGGCATGACGTCTGTCCTGTATCAACTTTTCCATTTAGAGGACGTTTTTTCAGTTACTGGCAGACCAAATGTCATTCGGCTGATGGGTCTCTGGTATGATGCCCAACAAATTTTGAGAAAAGAAGTGACCTTAACCCATATTCAAGATCACAAGGGTCAAACTTGTTTTAACTTTTAAACTACTTCTGCCGACTAACCAAAAGACACAGAAGCATAATATTTTGGTGATACGTTCTTTGGATGAAGCCTTGCTGTTAGAAATTACCCGGCAAATTTGTTAAAACCTTTAAACAACCTCTGACTAACCTTAGACGCAGAAACATGGTGCTTGGCGGGTCGGTTGCTGGGGTGAAGCCCAACAAAGTTTGCAAAAAGAAATTACATTAATCCATCCGCAAGGTCACATGGGTTGAATTTGTTTAAGTTTTAAAACGACTTCTGACATACAACAGACAAGGTAGCATTGTATGCGGCTTATAGATTCTTAAGATGAAGCCCAACAAAGTTTGTGGAATTATATGGCATTGACCCTTATCTAAATAACTTCTGACTAACCAAAAGGCGCAGAATTATGATATCTGGCTGATGGGTTTATAGGGTGACGCCCGACAATATCTGCGAAAAGAAATGACCTTGACCATATTGAAGGTTACATAGATTGAATTTGTTGAAACCTGTGAAAGATTTCCTCTGATAAACCAAAAATCCGAAAAGCAGGATATTTGATAGAGATGTGTTTCCAGGTCAAAACCCAACAAATATATAGCAAAAAGAAATCACATTTACCTATAATCCAAGTCATAACTGTCGCTGTTTATAGTTGAGTATTAGAAGCTGTTTGCTGTCAAAATTTGAGTGTGCCCCCTTTGAATGTCAATAGTGTACGTATATTTGTGATCTTAACAACTACTCAATTTTTGATGAACATTAATACCAGGTGAACAATGCAGGCATAATGTGCCTCTTGTCAACAGACCTATTCATCATAAGTACAATATTACCACCACAGTCATTATCAGTAGATGGTTCAGGACAACTGTTGTTCATCAGAATAAAAACACAAGAAAAATACCAACATAACAACAGAATCATATTCCAAACTCAAATTCCATAAAACTAGGACTAAATTTGAACAAAGAAAGATTTACACGCAGATTCCTGAAAAGGTATTAGGATAATAAGAGCAAATGTTCCGGAAGAGTGAGCGCCTTCTGCTTCATCGACGACATCCGCCATATACATCTTTGTTAATCCGAGTAAGTAAGGTCACGTTCTCAAATGAGGACAAGATATTCAACAACGGAACCAACTGGCAAATTAAAGAGCATCCACCACGTCCAGCTTCATATCGCACAAAGAATTCAAGTATTTCTTCATGAAATCACTATGGGGACCATAAAAAAAATTTCCATAATTTTTCATCAACCTGCATCTTTTGAAACCCTGTGTTGAAAGTATGTTCATCATAGGTTGGGGTTACATGGTTATTGCTATCCAGATATGTAAAATTCATAATAGGGAAATTGAAGTCACCTTTATCATACAAAACATGGAAAACTGTCCTTCCTGATTTAGTTAAGAAAAAATCCAGATAATCAGCTGACGTAAAAGAGTCTGTCGTGAATGGGTATATACAATTGTATAATGGACGTGGTCAATACAGTTCTTCTTATTTTAAACATAGACGTTATCAATATATATGAAAATGATATTAAACGATTTTGCAAGGTCATCAGCATCAAATGAAAACAAGACCAAGTCAGCCAAATGAGGGGCGGAGTTAGTTCCCATAGGTATGCCAATAGTCTATTGGAAGTTACATAAACACAACCATTCATCTGTAATATACTAAACACAACACAGATTGATGTATCAGAAACAACACATACATAAACACACTCATACATCTGTAATACACTAAACACAACACAGATTGATGTATCAGAAACAACACATACATAAACACACTCATACATCTGTAATACACTAAACACAACACAGATTGATGTATCAGAAACAACACATACATAAACACACTCATACATCTGTAATACACTAAACACAACACAGATTGATGTATCAGAAATAACACATACATAAACACACTCATACATCTGTTATATACTAAACACAACACAGATTGATGTATCAGAAACAACACATACATAAACACACTCATACATCTGTTATACACTAAACACAACACAGATTGATGTATCAGAAACAACACATACATAAACACACTCATACATCTGTATATACACTAAACACAACACAGATTGATGTATCAGAAACAACACATACATAAACACACTCATACATCTGTAATACACTAAACACAACACATTGATGTATCAGAAACAACACATACATAAACACACTCATACATCTGTAACACACTAAACACAACACAGATTGATGTATCAGAAACAACACATACATAAACACACTCATACATCTGTAATACACTAAACACAACACAGATTGATGTATCAGAAACAACACATACATAAACACACTCATACATCTGTAATACACTAAACACAACACAGATTGATGTATCAGAAACAACACATACATAAACACACTCATACATCTGTAATACACTAAACACAACACAGATTGATGTATCAGAAACAACACATACATAAACACACTCATACATCTGTAACACACTAAACACAACACAGATTGATGTATCAGAAACAACACATACATAAACACACTCATACATCTGTAATACACTAAACACAACACAGATTGATGTATCAGAAACAACACATACATAAACACACTCATACATCTGTAATACACTAAACACAACACAGATTGATGTATCAGAAACAACACATACATAAACACACTCATACAAACACAACACAGATTGATGTATCAGAAACAACACATACATAAACACACTCATACATCTGTAATACACTAAACACAACACAGATTGATGTATCAGAAACAACACATACATAAACACACTCATACATCTGTAATACACTAAACACAACACAGATTGATGTATCAGAAACAACACATACATAAACACACTCATACATCTGTAATACACTAAACACAACACAGATTGATGTATCAGAAACAACACATACATAAACACACTCATACATCTGTAATACACTAAACACAACACAGATTGATGTATCAGAAACAACACATACATAAACACACTCATACATCTGTAATACACTAAACACAACACAGATTGATGTATCAGAAACAACACATACATAACACACACTCATACATAAACACAACACTGTACATACACTAAACACAACACAGATTGATGTATCAGAAACAACACATACATAAACACACTCATACATCTGTAATACACTACAACACACACACAGATTGATGTATCAGAAACAACACATACATAAACACACTCATACATCTGTTATATACTAAACACAACACAGATTGATGTATCAGAAACAACACATACATAAACACACTCATACATCTGTAATACACTAAACACAACACAGATTGATGTATCAGAAACAACACATACATAAACACACTCATACATCTGTAATACACTAAACACAACACAGATTGATGTATCAGAAACAACACATACATAAACACACTCATACATCTGTAATACACTAAACACAACACAGATTGATGTATCAGAAACAACACATACATAAACACACTCATACATCTGTAATACACTAAACACAACACAGATTGATGTATCAGAAACAACACATACATAAACACACTCATACATCTGTAATACACTAAACACAACACAGATTGATGTATCAGAAACAACACATACATAAACACACTCATACATCTGTAATACACTAAACACAACACAGATTGATGTATCAGAAACAACACATACATAAACACACTCATACATCTGTAATACACTAAACACAACACAGATTGATGTATCAGAAACAACACATACATAAACACACTCATACATCTGTAATACACTAAACACAACACAGATTGATGTATCAGAAACAACACATACATAAACACACTCATACATCTGTAATACACTAAACACAACACAGATTGATGTATCAGAAACAACACATACATAAACACACTCATACATCTGTAATACACTAAACACAACACAGATTGATGTATCAGAAACAACACATACATAAACACACTCATACATCTGTAATACACTAAACACAACACAGATTGATGTATCAGAAACAACACATACATAAACACACTCATACATCTGTAATACACTAAACACAACACAGATTGATGTATCAGAAACAACACATACATAAACACACTCATACATCTGTAATACACTAAACACAACACAGATTGATGTATCAGAAACAACACATACATAAACACACTCATACATCTGTAATACACTAAACACAACACAGATTGATGTATCAGAAACAACACATACATAAACACACTCATACATCTGTAATACACTAAACACAACACAGATTGATGTATCAGAAACAACACATACATAAACACACTCATACATCTGTAATACACTAAACACAACACAGATTGATGTATCAGAAACAACACATACATAAACACACTCATACATCTGTAATACACTAAACACAACACAGATTGATGTATCAGAAACAACACATACATAAACACACTCATACATCTGTAATACACTAAACACAACACAGATTGATGTATCAGAAACAACACATACATAAACACACTCATACATCTGTAATACACTAAACACAACACAGATTGATGTATCAGAAACAACACATACATAAACACACTCATACATCTGTTATACACTAAACACAACACAGATTGATGTATCAGAAACAACACATACATAAACACACTCATACATCTGTAATACACTAAACACAACACAGATTGATGTATCAGAAACAACACATACATAAACACACTCATACATCTGTAATACACTAAACACAACACAGATTGATGTATCAGAAACAACACATACATAAACACACTCATACATCTGTAATACACTAAACACAACACAGATTGATGTATCAGAAACAACACATACATAAACACACTCATACATCTGTTATACACTAAACAACACAGATTGATGTATCAGAAACAACACATACATAAACACACTCATACATCTGTAATACACTAAACACAACACAGATTGATGTATCAGAAACAACACATACATAAACACACTCATACATCTGTAATACACTAAACACAACACAGATTGATGTATCAGAAACAACACATACATAAACACACTCATACATCTGTAATACACTAAACACAACACAGATTGATGTATCAGAAACAACACATACATAAACACACTCATACATCTGTAATACACTAAACACAACACAGATTGATGTATCAGAAACAACACATACATAAACACACTCATACATCTGTAATACACTAAACACAACACAGATTGATGTATCAGAAACAACACATACATAAACACACTCATACATCTGTAATACACTAAACACAACACAGATTGATGTATCAGAAACAACACATACATAAACACACTCATACATCTGTTATACACTAAACACAACACAGATTGATGTATCAGAAACATGAGGTAATTATGTTTCTATCTTAACATTACATTATAATGATGATACATGTATAAAAAGTGACATGCAAGATATATTTTAGTGCTATTGATATACGTCGATGGACAGCTGATGTAGTGAATATGACAATGCTTTTTTTATCAAAGTGACCGGGGTTCGAATCTGACCGAAAATGAAAACTTACTGCAGTCACAAGCCCAATGACGTTGGTTTTGTTCGTGTACACGTGTTAATAAAGAAATTAACTTTTTTAGCAATATCTTATCTTATAAAACTCCTCTCTCACTCAACCAACTTTTGTTGCTGTTTGATGATGTTGTGCTGTCCTTTGCTGCTGTTTCGCTGTTGTCTTTTGCTGACAAACTTTTAGCATTTTTACAATTTTTTACTGACAAAATATTACGGTTATACATTTTATACTGACAAAACATTATTAGCACTGGTATTCTATCACGTCTATGTACATGAATATGAATATATATATATAATTAATATAACTACTGCTGCTATGTATGTATGCAGTACATCTATCCAGTGATTATGTAATACTACCCTGTAAAACCCCCACAAACCTTTATATCTGGCGAAATAACATGTTTAAGAACGGTAGTACATAATTTTAGCCATTTTCTGGATGTTGCGAATATATGTAGCTAGTGAACCTGGCTCTGTATGTGCGATTAGACCGTGTTTTGTGACGTTATCAGAAATGTCAACTTAACCATGGCGTCTAGAGGATACCGGACAAATAAAGATAGACGTACCAGTGGAATTGGCAGTCATGATAGAGTAAAAAAGGATTGTTGAAGATAGATCGGATGACCTGATTTCCACCATGTTGACTAGAGAATACCTTGATGGAAAGAAAACTCAACTGTAGAGCGACATATGTGCTTAAAAATATAGAAATACATGTAACAGGTCGTTTAGAGGTAAGATTACTTGAACAGTAAATACTCTAGAAGGAGATATCATTTTCATTATTATTATTATTATTGCTATTATTATTATTGATAATTTGGTTGATGATGTATTCGTCGAAAAAATATGAAAATGTTGTGACATATTCTTGAAGGAGTCAAAACCTTGTTAAACAGGTATTTTTGTATCATTTTCTTATTTCTGAAAATTAGTGGTCTAGTATTGGTTCCTCACATATAGATCCTGGCATCAGAACAGACCATTCGTTTCCAAGAGTATGCTTTACACTAAATAAATTTAAAAGAGGAAAATGGTCTTGAAAGCTATGTGAGTCACTTTTACAAGATTAAGAATACCTTATAATTGTTTATACTTGCATTTATACTTATTTATGGCCATATTTTCCATGTCCCTAATATAGGTCAAGCCATCTATTATCGGTGCGTGTTCGTTTATGCGTAGTTATCAGGATTGTAAAATGCAGGTTTATTTCTGGATATAACGTTGAATTTGCTCCCTTTGTAGTTGACGTTCTTATTGTACATCTATATTTACTATTATGTTATTGATTTAATTGTTGTATAACTGCCGTCCGAGTGAAATATGTGTGGAAGGCGTGAACGGTAGTCGTGTGCGCGTGAACTTGCGAGTGATCGCGTAGGTAAAACTTTCCATTGTTATACCTACTTGGATTCTATCGATCCTATCGCACAGTTGTGAGCAAGATATAATATAATACCATAACGCGCACAATGTATACACGATGTGTACACGATGTATACACAATGTAGACACGATGTATACACAATGTAGACACGATGTATACACAATGTAGACACGATGTATACACAATGTATACACGATGTGTGCACAATGTATACACGATGTATACACGATGTGTGCACAATGTATACACGATGTGTGCACAATGTGTGCACAATGTATACATGATGTGTGCACGATGTATACACGATGTGTGCACAATGTATACACGATGTATACACGATATAGACACGATGTGTACACAATGTATACACGATGTATACACGATGTGTGCACAATGTATACACGATGTGTGCACAATGTATACACGATGTATACACGATGTGTGCACAATGTATACACGATGTATACACGATGTGTGCACAATGTATACACGATGTGTACACAATGTATACACGATGTGTGCACAATGTATACACGATGTATACACGATGTGTGCACAATGTATACACGATGTGTGCACAATGTATACACGATGTGTGCACAATGTATACACGATGTGTGCACAATGTATACACGATGTATACACGATGTGTGCACAATGTATACACAATGTATACACGATGTGTGCACAATGTATACACGATGTATACACGATGTATATACAATGTATACACGATGTGTGCACAATGTATACACGATGTGTGCACAATGTAGACACAATGTATACACGATGTATACACGATGTGTGCACAATGTAGACACAATGTATACACGATGTATACACAATGTGTGCACAATGTATACACGATGTGTGCACAATGTATACACGATGTATACACGATGTGTGCACAATGTATACACAATGTATACACAATGTATACACGATGTGTGCACAATGTATACACGATGTGTGCACAATGTATACACGATGTGTGCACAATGTATACACAATGTATACACGATGTATACACGATGTATACACAATGTGTGCACGATGTATACACAATGTGTGCACGATTTGCATGAAGATTTTAGTGCGTTGTGTATTAATATAAGGTAAATGAAGCCCATAACAATAATATAACTCGATTGGTTTTACATTCTTATTAAACAAATTATAAATTACACGATGTGTGACTGTATACACGATGTATACACAATGTGTGCACAATGTATACACGATGTGTGCACAATGTATACAATGTGTACAATGTATACCGATGTGTCATAATACCTGTATTATGTGTGCAATGTGTTTTGCATGAAGATTTTAGTGCGTTGTGATATATGTGTTTCTAAATCGTAGGGTTAAATAAAAGTGCCAAATGCTGTAATTACATGCGCTTGACTGATTTCACATAAATAATGCTGCTAGTTCTTATGCACTTATGAGCAGCAGAGCAATATTAATGACCAAGCTTTGTGGCGAAGAGTCGCTCATAATGAAATCGGAGATAATAAGATTTTGTCTTCTATTGACGGTACTTCCTATCTTGTTATTAATTGAAAATATGTTTTAATCTCTGAATAGTAATTTTCATAATTGCAAGACATTTATTAGGTAATATAGGATATGATTATCAAGTCAACAATATTGGTATTTGTTGTTGTTGACTTAATGTTAAGATCCCTGTTTAATCATGCATAAATACGAGCAAACATGCTTGAAAAAAGGTTGTGAAGTAGTTATACATAAACATCAAATCCTGTCACAAAATTGATGTCATAAACGTTCAACAATAGGCGTGTAACTGTAATTATAAACATGACTCCTTTCCCGATAGCTTTCTTAAGCCGAGGTTAACCAGAACTCTCTCTGTAATGGTACCATGGGTTTCCCAAGAGAGAGGTAAATAATCTACGCTGTTAACTGCTGGCTGCCATTCTTCATATGGTCTCACAGAATGACTGAGTTTCTATAATAAAGCAAAAAAAAAAAAATTTGAATAAGCAATCAGATATTATAGGCAAATGTTTTACTGAATACCATCAGAATGGTAACTGAATATGATTAAAATAGATTTCGAGTACGAATAATGAAATCTACGAATTACTACTAGAAGTCATTACAATGAAACATCTATTATTGTTCTATATATATACTGTATCTGCTCGATCAAAGAGATAAAACATATTTAATCATATACCTGGTATATTGTTTCCCCAGGCGAACGGTACACAACGATCAACCCTATCAGGAGTAAGGGTATGATTGGCAGTACGGAGATCATCCAGCCAGCGATAGCGGCCCAACTTGGATATTCATAATCCCCATAAGCAGGCGGTGTATATGACACAATACTCATTACCATTAACACCTGTATAAGGAATTTATTACAGTAAAACTGTCAGAGTGTACTTATAGTCAAAATGAATGTAATTCGGGTAACAGAGAAATATAATAATATATTAATAATAAAAACAGTATGACCGACGTTCAATGGTTTTATTTACATTTCAGATATCATTTAAAACATTAACTTGTCTTTTTCTTTTTAATTTAGAATGGTATCCTCCTTGTAAGTATATGTACTGATAAAGCTTGAATGATTGACATAAAGCTAGAAAGTGTGTTAGCAGAGGCGATGTGCAAAGCTTTGAAGTAACGTCGGTCAACATGGCGACAAAATGACTTCGATAAATAACATTGAGTTAATGGGAGGCCATTATGTAAAATGTAAATATATGGTAATGATGCTATCTCTAAGGGTTTAAAGCAATATATAAAAAACCTACCATATGACATATACTATATGTGTTGGTAATTATTCTAGACACTCGTATAGAACTTGATATTTCAGGTATTTTTCTTATATATATATGAAGTCAGATATGACGTTATCACAGTCATAAGAATCGTGCTATAGTTGTCTTGCTAAACGAATATAAACAGTAAATAATACAGTATATAATTCCTGAGATTGGGCTATTGTGAAATTCGCTCCATCCAAAAATATACAATTTCGATCTTGAAAATCAGAAAACAGTTCTTCGTTTGAAAACCTTTTATGCGACTGTTAATGGAACCATTTGTTCAAGTGATTACTTTAAAATCTGCACTGTGCGGAATTTTAACGAAAAATTATTTGTATATCATCCGGTCCCTTTAGTAAGATACTCACCGTTTGCAATAACTCCTGTGACTGATTTCAAATAGCTGACTACCACTGATATCAATTTTCGAATAAAATTACGTTAAATAGTTGGAACAAAAGTGATCTGATGTCATACTTGTAGATACACTGTGAACATAAACTGCTCTCTGAGTATAACTTATGGCGAGGTTTATGAATTTCTGAATACAGAATGATAACCTTGATTTGAAATATGATAAAACGATCAATTACAATATCAAACTAGGATTTCCATGGTTCTTTGAGAGTAAAGTCAATTAATATGGTAAGAATATTTAACATTCAGTGTGAATTTTGCTCTAAAAATACAATCAGAATCGATGCCCTAAATGGTTTGATTTAACGAAATCTATCTGGTTTATCTAGATGTCTTACAGCTGGAAGTGATACATCGCTGTAATGTTGTATTGAACTCCTGTTGCTGTTTAATATTATGTGTTAGAAATGCATGTGATTATTTACGTACAAATAATAGAAACGGCGAGAGGAAACACCAACAGAACTTGATGTAGCGAGGTACTTCCCTCCCGATCATCATCTCCACGTCCTTCGAGAATCTCTCGGCACCTTTGTGAATCAGATGACATGACAAGCAAATCTTTACCAGAGCTCAGGAAGCAGAAATCATATACTTATCAAGTAGCACATTAATAGTCTAAGCTGTCTGATATCTTTAGTGTCTAATAATAGGAAAATAGAACACAATTGGAAAATAATACAATGATTGACAGAAAAAAAAGCTATTTCAAAATGTATTGTCGGATTAAATGACAGTAACGGAAAACAACAATTTTATTTGTTATCACTGTCAGTTCCTTATACATCCTCGATATTCCCGGGGTTACGTTCACTTTCGCTGCACCCTGACACATCAGAGGTTGATATGCTCCTTTTGAATATTACAAACGATCAGCACCCAACTTCAAAGCCATTACAATATACCGTTATGTGACCCCGAGATTAGTTTGATTTGTAACAGATGATCAAACTATTCTTTTCATCATGTACACAAGGTGTCGCACATCGAAAATTCAGTTTTGCCATGACATGTTCCAGGGGTGCAGTGAGCGAAAGTGCTCGTAACCCTGTAGTATCGAAGATGTGCCTTAAAGTATCAGCTGCAAACTGGCACGCGTGAAAATGATAAAAGAGGCTTGCCACTTTTTTCTTTCTTTACCCTCGTCAAATACAGCTTGAATTTAAGGCACTGATCATGTATTCTCTAAATATCGCGATCCTCTATCACGCACAACAACCACTTTATCAATCGTCAAACCCGTCAGAATTTTGTATATATATAATGAAATGTACAACAGCTTTATCAATGCACAGTTAACAAAATGTCAATTTATAATATATCTTAATATTAAGATGTTGTATTATCATACGAAGTATTCTTAAACACAGAATATACATATAAAATGGTAATATTTCCCCCAATAATGAAAAAATATATCTATGCTTATTTGCAAAAAAAACTTTTCCACATCGGCGATAAATTTCAAAACTGTAATGTTGCACATACCATACAGCCAAGCAATTGATATACACTCTACAAGTGAAATACATAGCGGTGCAAAAGCTGCGATATACCAATCAAATATCTGATACAGGTATACTCCTGCCTGAAAGGTAAACAATCAATACGTAACTGTAATTACACGAGTTTTCATTATCATGCAATGATAAAACATTTGTTGGGTGAAAAGGTCAGATTTAATGTGAAAAGAAGGTGCTTTGGATGTGATTTCTGTTAATTATATTTTTAATAGTATGACATGATATTAGCTCTTAAAACACTATTTAATACTACCTTTTTCATGAACTGACTATATAATACTGATAACTATAATAAGTAAAGTAAATAATACTATATAAAAAAAAAAATGACTGTAAAATGAAATAGAAGTTCTGGAAAAATATACGTGTTTTCCAAAATGTTCATATAGTCTATTGTGTTACGTTCCATCATTACCTGTGCACAAAATGGTAAAGTAATCACAAATCCGAAGATTGATAAACATGCTCTGCAGACCGTTTGCCGTTTCTTCATGCATGGAAAGCAGTCCTCAAAATAGATGTATGTTATTTCCGTCAAAGTAAACTGAAAATGGATGGTAGATTTTATTTCTTCATAAAAGAAAATAATCCTGCTACAGAAAAAAACACTCCTAGGAAAGTAAACAATATTGCATAAATAATAGCTTTATTTTTTTCAGCTTCGTATTTGTTTTTCTTGTAGGTGGTATACCTACCCTATGCTTAGTCCTTCTCTTTCTCCTAATCACAACAGAAGCTAAGGACATTATTGACTACCTTGATATTTCTTTTCGATTCCAAAACAAATAATTGCTGTGGAAGGAATGTAGATATTTCATCGGGAAATTGACATATTTTGAAATATATATTAATAAAATCCTATCGTCTATATCAAGTTTATACCACCTCGGCATCCCTTAGATCACCGAACACAAGAACACATACTTGAGTATCCAATCCCAGTGTAATCATGGCAATGAAGAATAAAACCGCCCAGAGGTTGGGGAGGGGCATCTGTGCCAAAGCCATAGGATAAGCCACAAAACCTAATCCAGGGCCTGATAACAACAGAGAAATATTATAATATTTTGTTGTAGATTTTTATAGTGATAGAGATTGTTAGAGATATTATATCTAAACGTTTCGTACAAGGTCTGATATCATGCAATTATAAAGCTTTCCTTCTACTGAAAATCTTTTGTTATGTTGATGTTATTCCGAAAAGACGGGCTATAGACTTTTTAATTCAGATAAGGAACTTACCAGATTTAGCAACATCTGTCAGAGGGACGTTCGCCTGATGGGCCATGAATCCGAGTGCAGAAAAGATTACAAGGCCACCGAACACACTTGTAGCCTCTCCAGCGATAGCCATAACGAATGTGTCTCTGCGATTGAATGTAATTAATATGAAAATATTTATATATAGCTCGCATACAGATACAGACTGGAACTTCTCCACGCCATGAGGTCATGCATAAAACATGAAGTAACTGATCCGATTCCGTTCTATACAACTTAATGAATGCATAATGAAGTTTCAGAAAGTAAAAAAATACGTGTGCACAATATTCTATTTCAAACCAGACTAAAAAGACATCTAGCATTGTTCAGCGGTGTCGGCGCGGTTAGAATAATTTCTTCTTGTTAGAGGTGATAATTATACATAATGTTAAACCAACTCCTGCTGATCGGAGTAGGTATTGTGTACAAAGCCTACCCGCGACACGTAACCACCCCCAACACAAAACGTGCAACTCTCTCGTACCATTTGTTGATTTCACGAACTCAATAAAAAATTCAATACAAGACACATTTGGTATCGGTTACTAATAAGGTGAACACAATTATTATTATTCTGCCAATTCAAATTTTTTTGAATCGAGGTCTACTTATAGTAGCTCGTTACTACCTAACTGAGCAAGATGTGAGAGACCCATCGCATAAATGCTGATACTAAAAGCAATTGATAAAATCTTGTCTAAAGACACAGCAACGGCAACACATTGTAATCTTATCTTACTTCAGGACACATCAACTTTCACTCTTTCTCTTTTCTATTCTAGTTGGTATTATACTACCGTAAATGTTATCCGTATCGTGCGCGTAACAAATATATACATGTATGGAAGCCCTGTTTTATTGCCATAGTGTCGAACGTAGCACATAATTATTACGTATTCAAACCATATTTTAGTAATTGTATAAGATAGTTACATTATAGTTGATTAATTAAGGTGCATGATATTTGTATTCAGGGTTGAAATGGGTCGCGTGTTAGTGGCTGTCGTTTTAACTCTATTTTGTGGTTCTTCATATGATTCTTTGGCTCGCCATCGCCGTGATTGTTGAACCGTGAAGCTACATGAATATTTTTATTTCTTGGTTAAGGAGTGAGTGTGTATTTGAGAGCAAGTCTTGTATATACATATATAACCTATGTTTTACATTATAAATAAACATCATCATCTTTTTGCAATCTATTCTTTCAGTTATCATTTTCCCAGTAAACCGACCGACGCTTGTCCAAATAGCTTTCTAAAGCAACAGACAGCTACATGAGAACCGTAGTACCTGTCAATATTTGCCTTCATCACTTATATATTACTGTTAGCTGTTATCTTCATAAAACGTTTTGATTTAATGTGTCTTAGACTGAGAGTGACTTTAGAGAATTCAGATATTTCCATTTGACGATGAAAACTATTATTGTAACTTTGGTAATATACATATAGCACTTGTTGTTTGCATTGTACAATAAGCTTTGTTAGTTAATGATATCATTCAAATTGCCGACGTAGGATGCACAAACTTTTTCGTACCACATTTGATAAATATATAAATTTTGTAATGTGCGTGGAAGTATTACCTTAGACAGTTGTTATTAAATGTATTGTAACTGGCCATTGTGATATGAAGACCCCATCCGATCGATACTGAATAAAACACCTGTATTGCAGCTTCTAGCCAAACCTAATATTAAAAATGTACACAGATTAGCCAAACATAAAGTCAAAAGAATTATTACTCAGTATTCAAACGTGTCAATATAGGAATGTATTCTGTTTTGATACAGAACATCTACAGTTTTTCCAGAAGTATTTCTTCCTTAAGGTCAATGGTTTTCGATAGAAAGTTTAGATAAAGGTTAGTCACATTATGTATCATGTAAAAAGTTTGAATTATTTTGGAATACTTTTATAATTAAGTTCAACATCTCTATTCTTAAATACATAAACATATCCATAGCTTACCTTGATGTTTGTAAGAGTATTGAAATCTGGTTTAATGAAAAACTCAACTCCATCAATAGAGCCCGGTAACGTAAGATTGTGGACGAGCAGAATGACGAGGATTAGGTAAGGAAGAGTGGCGGTCACATACACAACCTGGTATATACAAGGAATAGGTAAAGAAGTGTGGCGGTTACATACACAACCTGGTATATATACAAGGAATAGGTAAAGAAGTGTGGCGGTCACATACACAACCTGGTATATATACAAGGAATAGGTAAAGAAGTGTGGCGGTCACATACACAACCTGGTATATATACAAGGAATAGGTAAAGAAGTGTGGCGGTCACATACACAACCTGGTATATATACAAGGAATAGGTAAAGAAGTGTGGCGGTCACATACACAACCTGGTATATATATAAGGAATAGGTAAAGAAGTGTGGCGGTCACATACACAACCTGGTATATATACAAGGAATAGGTATAGAAGTGTGGCGGTCACATACACAACCTGGTATATATACAAGGAATAGGTAAAGAAGTGTGGCGGTCACATACACAACCTGGTATATATACAAGGAATAGGTAAAGAAGTGTGGCGGTCACATACACAACCTGGTATATATACAAGGAATAGGTAAGGAAGAGTGGCGGTCACATACACAACCTGGTATATATACAAGGAATAGATAAAGAAGAGTGGCGGTCACATACACAACCTGGTATATATATAAGGAATAGGTAAAGAAGTGTGGCGGTCACATACACAACCTGGTATATATACAAGGAATAGGTAAAGAAGTATGGATGTCACATACACAACCTGGTATATATACAAGGAATAGGTAAGGAAGTGTGGCGGTCACATACACAACCTGGTATATATACAAGGAATAGGTAAGGAAGAGTGGCGGTCACATACACAACCTGGTATATATACAAGGAATAGGTAAGGAAGAGTGGCGGTCACATACACAACCTGGTATATATACAAGGAATAGATAAAGAAGAGTGGCGGTCACATACACAACCTGGTATATATATAAGGAATAGGTAAAGAAGTGTGGCGGTCACATACACAACCTGGTATATATACAAGGAATAGGTAAAGAAGTATGGATGTCACATACACAACCTGGTATATATACAAGGAATAGGTAAGGAAGTGTGGCGGTCACATACACAACCTGGTATATATACAAGGAATAGGTAAGGAAGAGTGGCGGTCACATACACAACCTGGTATATATACAAGGATTAGGTAAGGAAGAGTGGCGGTCACATACACAACCTGGTATATATACAAGGAATAGATAAAGAAGAGTGGCGGTCACATACACAACCTGGTATATATACAAGGAATAGGTAAAGAAGTGTGGCGGTCACATACACAACCTGGTATATATACAAGGAATAGGTAAAGAAGTATGGATGTCACATACACAACCTGGTATATATACAAGGAATAGGTAAGGAAGTGTGGCGGTCACATACACAACCTGGTATATATACAAGGAATAGGTAAGGAAGAGTGGCGGTCACATACACAACCTGGTATATATACAAGGAATAGGTAAGGAAGAGTGGCGGTCACATACACAACCTGGTATATATACAAGGAATAGATAAAGAAGAGTGGCGGTCACATACACAACCTGGTATATATATAAGGAATAGGTAAAGAAGTGTGGCGGTCACATACACAACCTGGTATATATACAAGGAATAGGTAAAGAAGTATGGATGTCACATACACAACCTGGTATATATACAAGGAATAGGTAAGGAAGTGTGGCGGTCACATACACAACCTGGTATATATACAAGGAATAGGTAAGGAAGAGTGGCGGTCACATACACAACCTGGTATATATACAAGGATTAGGTAAGGAAGAGTGGCGGTCACATACACAACCTGGTATATATACAAGGAATAGATAAAGAAGAGTGGCGGTCACATACACAACCTGGTATATATACAAGGAATAGATAAAGAAGAGTGGCGGTCACATATACAACCTGGTATATATATAAGGAATAGGTAAAGAAGTGTGGCGGTCACATACACAACCTGGTATATATACAAGGAATAGGTAAGGAAGAGTGGCGGTCACATACACAACCTGGTATATATACAAGGAATAGGTAAGGAAGAGTGGCGGTCACATACACAACCTGGTATATATACAAGGAATAGGTAAGGAAGAGTGGCGGTCACATACACAACCTGGTATATATACAAGGAATAGATAAAGAAGAGTGGCGGTCACATACACAACCTGGTATATATACAAGGAATAGATAAAGAAGAGTGGCGGTCACATACACAACCTGGTATATATATAAGGAATAGGTAAAGAAGTGTGGCGGTCACATACACAACCTGGTATATATACAAGGAATAGGTAAAGAAGTATGGATGTCACATACACAACCTGGTATATATGTTACAGTAAAGATTGTGAAATCAAGGATTTCGTGAAATGACTGAAACTTTCAGTGAATTCGTGTAATCCCTAAATCAATTTGTAATTTCACGAAATCACTAAAATCTTTAGGGATTTCCTGTAATTACTGGAATGATGCTTTAGTTACTTCACGGAATCCCTGGATGTCCTTTGCGTTAAATCATAGCAAAATAAATGTATTCATAATAAAAATAATTGACATTTGAGTCATGTAGTGTCTGTTATTTTAGGACAAACAGAATTAGTCTCGTGTGTTGAAGAAGTTTTAATCGTTACAAATATATTAAGATTATGTGCACATCAATAGCACTATTTCCATTTTTAAACAATGTTTTATAAGCATTCCGTTCCTAGTGTGGAAGTTGACAAGGAGACCAACAATCGTCTCGGTACTCTTGATTTTTTTACCTTGCCTGTAGATCTAATTCCCTTGATGACACACAGGTAGATAGCGACCCAGGCCAAGAACAAACACAAAACCAGATTTCCATTGAGCGAACCAAAGTCTTCTAGTCCAGTTGATATATCTAGTATGTTGTACCTACATTAAACGTGTTGTAAATGTTTCAGTGTCACACGATACTGCGATATATCATATATATATGTAAATAAACAATTTTCGTCATCTTTTTAAATTTTTAATTCTCACAAATAGTTCTGGATTATCTTATCCGATCTTATATTTTCGATCATAATATAATGTTTCAGATTTCACACACTGCTTTTTTTCTACTGGTTTGATGATTGTCAGGGTTGTGACCTTGGGATCAAACTCCTTACTTTAGATTGATATTATTTTCCTTGCGCAGGAGCACTTTCAAACATCACACATATCTTAAATATTTTAGTCTTCCAATTGTACATTCATTCATTCATTCATTCATTCATTCATGTTCCCTCAAAACCACATTCGCGTACGTACAGGTACTAACATACATTCACGTCAGTGCTTGGATACCAACAAACACCCACATTATACAGTATACGGTTTTAACAGTTTACTCGTGTGCTTTTAAACGGAATAAACTTCACATAATTCTTCCTTATTAATATGGCTTGCTTGGAATTTCCTTTTAAAATGAAAGATAAAATGTGAAGACTGTTGAACTGTAAATAGAAAGTTTGTTTCCGCACAATAACTTGCGTTTTCGACTTCCCCATGAATTTATCAATATGCTGACGTGAAATGCACGATTGTTGTAAATATGATATCTGAATACACTATAATGGGAGCCGTTACCGTGATTCTTTATTAGCTTTACTAGATATAAGATAGTAACGCCGGATTCACCGCTAAATTGATTCTTATTTTCGAGCATAATTTACAATGAAGAGTTAGGAACTTAAATATATATTTACATTACGTATACTTAGTTCTTGATTATAATACCATAAATCTCGCGTACCGGTATTTTAGTTTATATCGGTCAAAATATAATGTTCTCATTCACTAGTGTATTTGATTTAAACATATTTTATTTGTAACAGTAATACATGTTCGGCACCAGTTTTCAAACTTATATTTAGCCCTTTCCCAATAAATTTTTTTTACAATTTTGTATGGATAAGATGACATGGTTGCTTATATATATCTACATGTGTTTTGTGTGTGTGTTTGTGTGTGTGTTTGTGTGCGTGCGTGCGTGCATGAGAGAGAGAGAGAAAGAGAGAGAGAAAGAGAGAGAGAGAGGACGGAAAATGTTTTATTAAGATGAATATAAGATTATAATTAATGTGGTGTTTTTAACTTAAATACATATTCATATTTTAAATACCTTTAAAAATCTACGTTATGTATTTTACAGACAATACTCACTGCCAGAATTCCTCCTCCGCGCTATGGCCTTTAATCTCACGAAATATGGAATTCGCCACACTCGTGTTTACATTGTGCATGTACTGATCTTTGTCTGTGACATTTTGACCATATAAGGTAGATATAGTTGTCATTGATTTAAGAGGGATGCTGTCCTTGAAACTGAAACAGTATGGCGTGTTCCAGGCGTTTCCGCACGTACTCCAAGGTAATGGATCATGGAATGTGTAATATATGTAGTGTATTACCCATGTCATCAACATGATGTAATAGCACACTCCAGGTACCAACATAAGCTGTAGACTTAAACCAAGCCCTGTAGAAGGCAGGAGACACCAATTATACATTATTCTTAACTTTTCCAATTATTTTATTGATATAAGGTAAAGTATGGAGTCTGACGCAGACTGATTTCCTCGACACGAAATAATGATTATTAAAGGTTAAAAAATATGAAAATGTCTACCAAAATAGATCTACCCAGTCTTTATTGGGAAAGAATGATAACATCACCTTTGATAAGTGGACAATAGCTCCAAACATCTTTAAAAGATTTCCCGGAGAATTGTCCGAGTGACGTTTCCAGAAAGTATACCGGTATTACCAGGAGGAAGAGTGTCAGAACATACGGTATCAGGAACGCCCCTATGATGATACAAATGAATGTTTTAAATGTCAGCTTGAGATTCTGGTGAAGCATTAATATTTAAAAGCAGGAACGAAGAAGAAAACAAAAGAAATATATTCACTTTTAATCCTGATTCTAGTCTGTCCGGTTATATATTATAAACAGAACAATGTTTATATTTACTATTTATTAATTATTTTCACTCAACTACTTGTTATAATTTTAGGGACGAATGCAAGATAAACATAAACATTTGATGATCAACCTATCACATGATAACATGTTTTTGCAATAAAGCAACAAACAATACTTGACATTTGTTGCATAAACATATATGTTTTGTTTTTACAATATGCAAAACTCCAGATTAACAGAAAACTAGGTAATTGACTTTCAACATAATCAGATCTTTTATAATGGCGACATAGAGATTTTAACATGTAAGGGTCAGACACGCCATTGTAGCATACACCCAATGGACATAAAAGGTACAATCGGTTCATATATTAAAACGTATACCGTTTGTTTGGGGGTGATTTTCTTCTTCGAATATGTTACTGTAAAATCACATATTGTTGTGGGTATTGAATTTTGAGAGGATATTCCCTATATATATTTTTTGTTGGCACTTAATTTCTTGCTCACGAAATCCTCTGGTTCTTTACATATAACAACTTTTCATGGACCTGTAAATTCATGGATTTAGATTACCCTTGGATTCAACGAAAATTAATCCCAATGATAACTAATGATTATGCAGAAGTTAACATAAGTGAGTGTTTATTGAAAATAACAAACCAAAACGAACATATTGTACAATATTAAATATATTAAAAACTTTTTATGTAATCAATGGTCACAACTATCGGATTTCAAATATCTTAAGTACAAATTTATTATTTTCAAACCTCTTTTGTTCTCTATAGTTCCAAAGTAGATATATATATATATAAAAACTTACCACCGCCATTTTTCATGCATACGTATGGGAACCTCCACATACTTCCGAATCCCACCAAATAACCGAGCATTGTCAATATGTAATCCAACTTTCTATCCCATTGTTCTCTTTGACCTTTTTCTCTCTTTCCGGTATGTATTTCTGTGCTTTCTTCATCTTTTGTATCCATTATGATATCTATGTGTAGAAAATTAAATGTAATTTCGGTTTTGCTACGCAAAGTTACCTTTTTTATAGAGAAAATAACATAAACATCTATACAACTAAGAAGCATATATGATACAGACAGGGCAGTTGTGTAGTCAAGAAATTCTTACTCTTAATAACTACATTATCTTTAAGAGACTAATATGGCTATATTATTGCAATAGCCATGAAATCTTACAGATCGCTCCGTAACATCTGTCCTCCCTACTGATAATCACTTAATGAGATTCAAAATACGAATACAAGATCGGAATTGGACACACTGAAAGGAGATTTGGAGTGTGATGTAACGTTGAAAATGGACCCGCATTGAACGTGGAATCGATGCCCATTTTCAAGGAAGAACATGAAACCGAGAAGCAATTGAAAATGGAATGTAATTAAAAGTTAGATCTTGCAGAAAAATGATTCAAATATCTATCTATACGGCGCGATAGAAATGTGCAAGAAACTCCTATTCATAGAGAAACCATTACGACATGCGTCCAGGCCAGATACAAGGTTTCATTCATTCATTGAGTGACCAACATCGTAATTGGTTGCCATTGTGCCCGAGAAGGGCTTGTCTGTGTGACCAACATACATATTTCGTTGGTCTGTGTGACAAACACATACCTTTCATTGGCCTGTGTGCCCATTGATTCGACTGGATGTGGTGAGATTGGACAAGAGCATATGTGCGTTACAGAGGCCATATGTGCAAACCATATCGTCAGTGATGCTGCCGGATGCCCATCGGAAGCTACCGTGACTTTCTATACTTTCAATATATATCTATTATTTCATTTATGTATATATATATCATTTATCACTGATTGAGAGAGTGAATCATCTTGAATGTGGATTTTGAATGGTGCATACTGTAACTGTGATGTATTGTAAAGAAACTGTACATATTGTATGGCGGGTTTGGCTTACCTCTCAAGGAGCAGATGTCAAGTATTCCCAATCGGTTCTCGTTACAACACAGAATATAGCATTCCCTACTTCTAAGTTCCATTCATGTACAATAATACAATGTTATGAAATCTACCATTCCAGATTTTTAATTGCTTAAGTTTACGAAGATAATTGAATATATGTTTATTTTAAGCTACAAAAACGCGTAGTAAGGCATCGATCTGTATCACAAGTAGCTTTTATTCGTTCTGGTAGTTCTGCAAATAATTTTTATCTTTTTTTTTATTGAAGTGTTGTTTAAAAGAGTAAGGAGTTTCGAACACAAGTTTCATTCTATAAATATGTTCTCCTTATATTTCGATACTGATACTTGGTTATTTTACCATCAACTAAAAAAGCTTACCGGTGACAGCGACGTATCAATCGTTATCTCTATACTACATCCACTTGCTTTCAGTGACAACGGTACAACATGCGAGTCAGTGACGTATGATGAAGCTATCCTTCGCGTTATAGTATATAAACTATATATTGATGAGGTATCCGCCCATTTTCATCCAATCAAATAAGAAAATATCGTTCAAACGATATATGCATACAGCGACGATAAAGCAGGAACTTGGACAATTATTTTTTTCAAAACTATAAAAAGAAAATATCGACATGTGAATGAAACGGTGATTTTATCTGGAGCTCGATAAAGGCTTAAAGACTTTTTTCCTTCATATCACATAGAAAAATAGAATCATGCTTAAAAGATCATGATTGCTACTTACATATTTCCAAAAAGACTAACAATATGTAGCTCCTTTGAAAACCACATGTTTGCTTGACCAGTACACGATGATTACAAGTATGTATTGAAACTCCTCCTCCAGAATACCACCCAGTAACTATATCAAGATGTACAAATTGCTGCTACGACTTACTAAAGTAATATTTGAAGTGTGAAGTTACCGAAGCCCGCCATAACGGCAGTAAATTCTCCTTTGTCCAGGTGGGACCCGATTGACTCGATTGACTCGAATTCGGAATGTGATTGTCATTTTAGTAGCATTCATATATCTCACTTCACCATTAACGATTGAAACTAACTCTCTAATTGTCAACATGGGTTCTGTTAAACTTTCGGTCAAGATTAAGAAAAGTGTAAACACTTTTGGTGAACTCAGGGACCCGGACGTTGTCCGATAAGTTTCCCAACTAATGGATAATGCGCTGTTTAAAGATACACGTCAAGCAAGTTTCGGGATCACTGCCATGCATAACCAAATTAAGCAGTTTGAATCTAGGATTGATGATATGGAGCAGTACTCTCGTCGTAACTGTCTCAAATTTCGAGGCATTCCTGAAGAAGAGAATGAGAGTACTAACGACCACATTATTCATATCTGTAATGATATGCTGGGAGTCATGGTTGCTCGTGAGGACATAAGTCGTAGCTACAGAGTAGGTCTCAGAGATAAAAAAAAATGCCCCGTGACATAATTGTGAGGTTTACATTTTACCGCACCAGAGCGGCAGTCTATCAGGCCAGATTTTCACTCCTCCGTCAAGAAACCACCACTCTCGATGATGCTATTGATGATTCAGCGTCTGCAAGTTCAAACACACACGTGAACAAACTATACATCAACGAAGTTCTTACTCAAGCTAGATCATAAGTCTTTAATAAAGACCATTTAACCAGCGTCAGTTGCATGCTTAGTTGTCACCTGACACCCATGGTGCAATATACATAAATACTTATAATGTCATTAATGTAAATCAGTTAAGACTCAATCAATACGTCACTAAATAGTGTTTTACAAAACATACCAAATCAAGTAGACAGGTCATGACTGGTACATCAGTTGGGAATCTTTGTACGACAGAGGTTATTTATACGATACTGTTATTGTATTTGAAAAAGAATGCTGTAACCTATAATAGTGTACGTTTATCTACACTAAATGTTATTTATTTATTATTCTGAGTTCAGCAGGTATAATATGTGAACTTAAGACACTATCTAGTAGCAAAAGTGTTCTTGATGTGTTTACAGAAATTAAATGAAAACTCAGAATAATAATAATAATAAACCCAGCAAATTCATTGATGTGTATATATGTATATATATATAAGTCAACTCTCTAAATTAATGTAGTCAGTAAATATCTTACATTGTTTAGAGCTACTGAGGTATATACAGATCTGAGTGTGTTTTATATTTACTTTCAGTACCTACATGCACATGCTATACATGTAAGGAACTACATATACATGAGTTGAAATAGACTCGATATTTACGCCAATATCTTCTAACGTTGTCTTCTTTACCAGTTTATGCATGTTTTACATTGCATATTGTAAATCAAGGGGTACTCACTATCAATGTCTTAATACTGTTACCTTAGTGTTGTCATATAACTGTTACCACCCAGCACTTCATCCTAAATGCAACGTTTAATATATACAGCAATTTAAATTATTCTGTAAAATAGTAGTTCAATTCCTGTTCTACGGTACTAGTTACGAACCAATGTTACGAAATACATTGGCTCGTCTCAATTTATATTAAAGATACAAAATGTATATCCAAATGATTTACTTTGGCGATGAAATATGCAAAATCTGAAGTTTTATTGGTATTATCCAATAGTACTTTTATGTATATTCAAGTATTTGCAGTTTATGAAAACTTTCAAGTTTTCCTTATGTTCATGTGTTAATCTATATTATTTCATATGTTGTAATTACGACTGGCTCTACCACAAAATGAAGTTTTTGTACTCTATTTTTAAACATAGTCTTAATTAAATAAATGTTTGCACCTAAAGATAATTTAGTATGGAAGAATCTAAATAGGTAAGAATAGATCTGTTCGACGAAAGTGAAGGCATGCATTGCGAGATATTAGAGAAGTGTGGTAATATGTGTGTGTATTGTATATTATCTGTATTTTTAAGTATGTTGTCTTCGTTGTCTTCTTTGTCTCTGTTTGTATCTGTATTTTCAAATGTTGATAGTTCCAACAACCAGCATTTCTCCTCATCCTACATTTTTACACACATGTGCCAGGTTAACTTTCGATTTCACGTTTGTGTTGTTATTGATCCAGGCTAAACCTTTTTTTCGAGATTGAAGGCGCATGTGAAAGTAAAGGAAGGATTTCATCACCAATCACTATATTGTTATAAAAGTAAAGCACATTTCCAATACATGTCTATCTGTAAAGTCACTGACATGTATTTAATATACTTTTTACATTATATTGAAACTAGTCCAGGACCTGTTTGTAACATGTCTATTAAACATTTTATTGTAAGGTCTTTAAGAAACAAACTTGAAATTTTAGATACTGAATTATCTGATAGTGATGTTTATGTGTAACGGAATTCCATCTTTCACCTAATATATCTGATGCT